ACTGATGCTGAATCTTCAACACTTTGGCCACCTGATGTGATGAGCTGACTCACTGGAAAAGACTCTGATGCTGGGAAAGATTGAGGGCAGGCGGAGCTGGTGCAACAGAGGATGAGTTAGTTGGATGGCATCACCGACTCAATGGATCCAAGTCTGAGCAAACTCCGGGAGTCAGTGAAGGACAGGGAAGCCTGGTCTGCTGCAGTCTGCATGCTGAGTTGCTTCAGTTGTGTCCAACTCTGTGCAACCCTATGGACTCAGCCCACCAGGCTCCTCTGGCCATGGGATTCTTCAGGCAAGAATAATGGAGTGGGTTGCCATGCCCTTCTCCAGGGGATCTTCCTGACCCAGGGACTGAACCTGGGTCTCCTGCATTGTAGGCGGATTCTTTACCATCCAAGCCACTGGAGAAGCCCATGCTGCAGTCTATGCAGCAGCAAGACATGACTTAGCAACTGAACAACAACAAGACATATTTAGTGAAAAAATCTGCACGTAAGTGGGCCCATTCAGTTCAAAATTGTGTTGTTCAAGTTTGTCTACAAGTAGGTCTTCAAATATAATACTGGCATAAAGGTAAAGATAACCACACATACAAGAACACAAGATAATGAGAATTAGCAGAAACAAATAAATATAGAGCACCCAGGAGAGCTTCAGATTTGGGAATTATTTAAACAGACTATTAAATAATAATGCTTTTCATGTCCAGTTAGATGAAAGATATAAAATTTCAGCAGGGCAATTAGAAACTGTGATGTGATAGGTTTGCATATTTGAGATTAGAAATTTGAGAACTAAAAATACAAAGGGCTAAAAAATAAGCAATAAGCATTACAAAACATAAGTCAGGAAGATTTGTTCCGCCAAGTATCAAAATAATAGCTATAGTGATGGAAACAGTATACCAGCACAGGGATAGAAAATGAATAAAAAATACAGCAAGATATGTATACATATACGGATATGACACACGACTTTGCTGGCACTGCAGAAAAGAAGAGACTTCAGTAAATGGTGATGAGGTACTGCCTAGGATATAGAAAAGTAATCCCTCGTGCATTAAAAACTTAAAAGTATGGAAGTCAAAATGAAAGCTTTAGAAGATAATACAAAGGAATATCTTTTGACTTTGTGGCTTCAGAGAACAATTTTTAAAAATTCACAAAAAAACTAACCTTAGACAAAAAATTTGATACTTTTCAGTAAATAACCATTAAAAAATTCTTTGTATCAAAAAACATCATAAGAGAGGGAAAGGCAAGCCAGAGTGGGAAGAAATATTTGCAGTTATATAGCCAACTAAGAGATGGGAATTCCAGACCACCTGACCTGCCTTTTGAGAAATTTGTATGCAGGAAGCAACAGTTAGAGCTGGACATGGAACAACAGATTGGTTCCAAATAGGGAAAGAAGTACATCAAGGCTGTATATTGTCACCCTGCTTATTTAACTTACATGCAGACTACATCATAAGAAACACTGGGCTGGATGAAGCACAAGCTGGAATCAAGATTGCTGGGAGAAAGATCAATAACCTCAGACATGCAGATGACACCACCCTTATGGCAGAAAGTGAAGAAGAACTAAAGAGCCTCTTGATGAAGGTGAAAGAGGAGAGTGGAAAAAGTTGGCTTAAAGCTCAACATTCAGAAAACTAAGATCATGGTATCTGGTCCCATCACTTCATGGCAAATAGATGGGGAAACAGGCAGACTTTTATTTTTGGGGGCTCCAAAAATCACTGCAGATGGTGCCTGCAGCCATGAAATTAAAAGATGCTTGCTCCTTGGAAAAAAATATGGCCAACCTAGACAGCACATTAAAAAGCAGAGACATTACTTTGCCAACAACGGTCCATCTAGTCAAGGCTATGGTTTTTCCAGTGGTCATGTATGGATATGAGAGTTGGACTATCAAGAAAGCGGAGCGCTGAATTGATGCTTTTGAACTGTGGTGTTGGAGAAGACTTCTGAGTCTCTTCAACTGCAAGCAGATCCAACCAGTCCATCCTGAAGGAGATCACTCCTGAGTGTTCATTGGAAGGACTGATGTTGAAGCTGAAACTCCAGTACTTTGGCCACCTGATGCGAAGAACTGATTCACTGGAAAAGACCTTGATGCTGGGAAAAACTGAAGGCGGGAGAAGCGAATGACAGAGGATGAGATGGCTGGATGGCATCAACCACTTGATGGGACATGAGTTTTGGTAAACTCTGGGAGTTGGTGATGGACAGGGAGGCCTGGCGTGATGCAGTCCATGGGGTTGCAAAGAGTCAGACACAACTGAGCAACTGAAGTGAACTAAGCCAACTAAGAACAGGATTTATAATGCTCTTTAATAAATCAAAGAAGAAAAAAATCTGCCAACACAAGTGAAAAACTGGGCAAAAGAATTTAAAAGTCACTTCATAAAAAAGAAAGAGTGGCCAGCAAACATATAAAAATGTACTTAATTTCATGAGTAACTAGGGAAATGCAGAGTAAAACTTCAATGAGATATAACTGCACATCTAAAAGACTGGCAAAATTAAAAAAAACACACACAAAAAAAAAACCTGTTAACACCAGAGTTGAGCAAAGAGGAAAAGCAAGACATCTCTGTTGCTCAGGGGAAACTTTAATCTCATAAAATTTAAGATGTAAATATTCAGTGATCAAGGACCATTCCTAGGCATACATAGCTGAGTTGCACTAGGTGAAGGGATAGACTACCCACTCCAATATTCTTGGGCTTCCCTAGTGGCTCAGATGATAAAGAATCTGCCTATAAGGCAGGAGATCTGGGTTCGAACCCTGGGCTGGGAAGATACCCTAGAGAAGGGAATGGCAACCGACTCCAGTATTCTTGCCTAGGTAATTCCATGGACAGAGGAGCCTGGCGGGCTACAGTCCATGGAGTCACAAAGAGTTGGACATCACTGAGAGACTTTCACACATAAAATAATGTTCACTGTGCAACTGTGATCGTCCTTCCCTCAAAACCCACTGTCCACAGTCAACAGAATGAATAAAGTGTTACATTAATGCAAAGGTAAATTATACATCAATGATGATGAAAGAAGTTGTTACAAGCAACAACATGGATGAATCCTATGTTGAATGAAAGAAGAATCCCATCTTGAAGGAAAATATAGTATAATTCTATTTACATAAAATTAAAAAACCATCAAAAGTAAACAGTATTGTTTAGGTACAAACATAGGAGTTAACATTACAAATAAAAACAAAGACACAGTTATCACAAAAGGTAGAATAGTGCTAATTGCTAGAGGGTTATGTGTGGGGAAGCTGGCTGTGATTGGGAAGGGACTATAAGGGGAGTTTCTGGGCTGCTGTCAATGTTGTATTGATTTGAGAGCTTGTTATACAACTAGTTACTTTAAAATTATTTCCAAAATTGTGTATTTGTATTTTATGTACTCTTTTGAATATGTATATACACATAAATGTGTATATATATGAATACATATATATTTCTTAAAGAAAGCTAAGACATGGCAAAAGAAACAAATTATCAACTGGTTTCTTACTGGGACACCCAAGACTGCAACTTCCTGATTTATGTTTTGAATTTGTTATAAGTAAAATAGTTAAAGCAATACCTAATGACTGTATCTATCTGCCATCACTTAATGGCAAATAGATGGGAAACAGTGGAAACAGTGGCTGACTTTATTTTTCTGGGCTCCAAAATCACTGCAGATGGTGACTGCAGCCATGAAATTAAAAGACGCTTACTCCTTGGGAGGAAAGTTATGACCAACCTAGACAGCATATTAAAAAGCAGAGACATTACTTTGCCAACAAAGGTCCGTCTAATCAAGCTATGGTTTTTCCAGTACTCATCTATGGATGTGAGAGTTGGACTATAAAGAAAGCTGGGCACCGAAGAATTGATGCTTTTGAACTGTGGTGTTGGAGAAGACTCTTGAGAGTCCCTTGGACTGCAAGGAGATCCAACCAGTCCATCCTAAAGGAGATCAGTCCTGGGTGTTCTTTGGAAGGACTGATGCTGAAGCTGAAACTCCAATACTGTGGCCACCTGATGCGAAGAGCTAACTCATTTGAAGACCCTGATGATGGGAAAGATTGAGGGCAGGAGGAGAAGGGGACGACAGAGGATGAGATGATTAGATGGCATCACCGACTCAATGGACATGGGTTTGGATAGACTCTGGGAGTTAGTGATGGACAGGGAGTCCTGGCATGCTGCAGTTCATGGGGTCACAAAGAGTCGGACACGACTGAGCGAATGAACTGAACTGAATGACTGTATTCTAAATAGTTATGTATTTAGTCATAATAAAATTTCTCATACTATTCGCTGCAGTTGAAAGGTATTAGGTAAAGAGATTTTTCTCCTCCCTCAAGATCTCATTTTACAATTATAAAATAGTGGACTCTAAACACTGCTGACATTTTTTTATGCCTTGTAAAGGTACACATCTATATCCAAGTTCTACCTTTGGGACAATTTAGAGGAACTTATAGATTAGTAGGGCTTCCCTGATGGCTCAGAGTTTAAAGCATCTGCCTCCAATCAGGGACACCTGGGTTCGATCCCTGGGTCGGGAAGATCCCCTAGAGAAGGAAATGGTAGCCCACTCCAGTATTCTTGCCTGGACAATCCCATGGACGGAGGAGCTTGGTAGGCTACAGTTCACAGTGTCGCAAAGAGTTGGACACGACTGAGCGACTTCACTTTGACTATAGATTAGTAACCTACTGCTCTGAACTCTAAAAAGTAATGAATGGGCTTTAGAAATCCCCAACGAACAGTCTGGGATTTACCAGATCTTAACCCTTAAATGTTTTAACAGAATTTCCAGGAGCCAAAAGCACTTGGAAGTAATGTCCCTCCACATCCAGTGAGTGCTATATCTCCATGACTGCACAACTTGAAAACTAGGAAACACCAAAGCAATACAACTCACAAAATGAATAGTAAAACTGGAATCTCCAGAGTCAACTTCAGAACAGGATTTACAAAGATAATGTCAAATTTCTTCATTTATTTTTAATAAGTAAAAAATCACTCAGTGGTACTGTACAAAATCAAATCATTAATTTTTGCACCTGGTATTTCAATCACCAGCAGTGATCTCATGTTACAGAAATAAAACAATGAAAAAAAAAATTTTTTTTTTTCATTAAATTCACGCTGGCTTTCCAGTTTTAGCAGAACTAAATAGAAGAAATAAATGGCAATACTTTTACCCCATAGGGGGAAAAAAAAGCAATAACAACATGGTTTCACATTTAATCATAAAATGAACTTAATCTTTGTTAATTCTGTTTATATCTGCTAAAGCACTGATCTCCAGAAATAAGAATTGATAGCCTGGTTCTGTTCTAAATTTACTTCTGAAGAGATGTAGAGATTTACATAGAATATAAGTAAGATACAAGATCATAGTTGAGAATTATTGAATGGCTACCGAGAAAGTATCAGTTGCTGTCGTAGAGTACAAAACAAAAAAGTGGAACAGACTTCTTATAGGAAAGTTCTTTTATTACTGCTAGCCTCTAATGTTCCAAGCCACAGAGCTTTGATATTCCTGAATTCAATTTTAAATAATATTAATTTAAGCACTGTGTTTGCAATATACATGAAGTGAGAGGGAAGGATATGATGAACCAAAATAAATTGCTTATTTCAAAGGTAGTCAGTTCCTTTACTCATCCTGTCCACTTATCTTTGCCTCCAATGCAGATTACCCTTTAATCATACAAACTCAACCTCCATTCCTAAATATATTTTCCCAATTGGATGATGCTTTCACAAAAGAATGAAACAATATACCTGGTTGACTAAACTATATACAGGTGGAATAAAAGGAAAGTAAAGGAGGGAATAGAATCAAATTGGATTAATACTGATGTGAATCTAGTTTGTAATTTATCAAAGTACTTATTAATGGTCCGAACAGAAAAACAGGAAAAGCAGCTAGGACGAAATGACGTTCTGTGGTTATGAAATGCCAATTGCTTTAGGACACATGATAGCATTGGAAGTAAAAGAAACACTTGCTGTTTTCACTGAGTTTACAGTGTTGAGTATACTTTGTTATTTTAATGAAAGCATTTCTATGAATACCTGCAATAGCTCCTAGCAGAAAACAGAAAGTTTCTATCAATAAAGATCTAAAAAAATACATTTTTATCTTTGTCAACTCCCTTTCTGGGAATGTGTAATTAAATAATACATTTCCCTTTAAAATAAAAAAATTTTTTTCTGTCCATTTCTTCGCTTGAAGAAAAAAAAAAATCAAGACTCAACTAGTGATAATTTTTTAATTTCTACTCTTCACCTACTTCTAAGGACACTCCATTTACAAAACCTTTTAGTCTTATATACTATGACAGGTTTAGAGTTCCAAATAAATAAAATAGCCACATTAAAGGCATATTGATGAATCAAATGACCAACCATATTTATCTGCTCACATTCGTGGATTCTCTAAGAGGGCTGTCAAGAGTTCACACAGTATTGTTAACAGTTAGTTCTGGTTAACACCTGTCATCATGACTTGTGACACTGATGCCGTCAACAAAGATCCTGATTTTGGAGAGACAGTGATACAGCAAACTCTGGTAAAATGAGCGAGGTAACATTTGTACAGTTCTAAATGTCTACTCTTTATCCACTGCTACTATCCCCCGCTCCACTGATGTTAAATTCAAAGCCTCATCTTGAGAGGTGCAGGGAGCCAAATACTATTTGAAAGAAAAATGGGCCTCAAATACTAAACAACCACAACAATTTATAAAATGAGATTAAACATTTTGGATAATTACATTTGTAACTTTCAATTTCTTGATGTTTTATCTCTTCTAGTCTTGGATACGTAACTTTTCCTAGGTTTCATCCAAAGAAGTTAATACACAGTTTTTTGGTGAGCATTATAAAATGGCATTCCAGTTCAAAGTTGCTTGTGATCACATCCACATATGAAGCACTACACGAGTGTATATACTATGCTTCAAAATGCGTTACAATTCTTCACTGTACTTTCTTTTTTTACTGATGGTTCCCTTAAATTAAGGCTTTATCAAAGAGAAATCCACAGCATTTTGAGCTGACTTTTTTAGTTCCTGAATTAAGTGCATTCTTTCCAAAATCAAGTAGTCTTAAATTTAAGACAACTTCTGTTCATCAGTGTCATGGCTAAAGTAGTATCTTACTGGAGGTCCAGGTAAATCTTCATCTCCATCGGCATCTGGAGCAAAGGACACAGTAAGATCCACATATTTCTTTTCAGCAGAAGGTTTCACAAGTTTATGCATTCTAAGGAAAATAAGCAAGAAATAATTTGGTAAAAATTTATAAAAAATTGTAAAATGAAAGAGTTATTCAAAGATTATGTTGTCCAAAGAATCTGATCTTGTTTAAATTTACTTTTAAATGTAGTAATTCATCTCCTTTCATATAATTAAGGAAATGAATGATTTACCTAACAATTTTTACCTCTGTTGGTAATGATAAAGAATACAGACCATTTATTAAAAAACGCCCCCCCCCCAAAAAAACCTCATACCAAAAAACCCCACAATGTAAGCAATGCTTTTAAAAAATGATTATATAGATGGGAAGTACAGATTCCTGTTCTTGTGAATGAAGCTTATATTAGTGGGGGGAGATGATAATATAGTGACTGTTAGTGACAAATGTTATGAGAAAGGGAACAAGTTGAGCAGAATAAAGGGGATTAGGAGTGCTAGGCTGGGAGAGTGGACAGGATATAGTATTAGATGGGGTTCAGAGGGGCCTCTTTAGGAAGTGCAAAGACCCGAGGTGAGAGTTAGTCAAATGGCCATCTCAGAAAGAGTTGTAAGCAAAGGGAAATACCAGAGCAAAGGTCCCATGCTGGAGAATGGATTGTTCAAGGAAAAGTAAGCAGGTAACTGTAACTGGAATATTGTGAGCAAGGACAGAGAAGTATGAAAGGAACTCAGAGGAGTAAGTGGGAACCAGATACTTTAGGGCCATGCAGACCACTGAAAAGACTGGCTGATTTTGCTCCCTCTCTTCCTTTTTATCTCTGCGCAAATGTCAGCTTATCAAATCAAAATATGACAGGCAGAGAGATTACCAAGATTATCCAACATATCAATATACTGTATCAATTTAACACACCTTTATTCTGCTTTATTTTTCCATAGCACTTACCACCATCTGATATTCATGTCTAATAGTTATGCAAACTCCTCAAGAAGGGTAGGGACTTTGCTTCACTCACTGTATCCCTAATGCTCACAAAAGTACCTGGGATATAGCAGGTACTCTTTGAAAAAATGTGTTGAATAAATGAATGACAATAACAATTGGCATTTTTTTTAATACTTCAGTCTCACCAGCCTAATCCTCAGTGCTTACACATAAGAGGTGGATCTGCTTTTACTTAGTATATTGATCAAATCAGGTTTCTAAGCTCATTAGTTTCAAAGCTGACTCAGAACTACAATAAACTCACAAGAATATTGTAATCCTATAAATCTCACTTGGAAGGTAGCCTATGGAACTTGGTACATTCACTGTCTTTACTTCTGTCATTAGATAAGAATAAATCATATATTTTAATCTGAACTTCAATAATCTCTATACTTAATTTTCTAGTGTACATCCAACTTACATTTCAGTTTCTGAGAATCTCTTGCATACAATGTTTTATACTTACGTTAACTTCAATCTTTTTGCATGACCAGGCACTATAGGAACATAGAGCATTTTGACTCCCTGTACCACCATTGTTGGCTCAATTCCATACTTCTCCTAAAAATGAATACCAAAAAGAGTACAATCAGAGCTCCATCGAAATAGAAATGGTATGTGACAATGTTTTACAACCAGTAATAAGAGAGCAAATTAAAAAAATAAATAAAGAGAGAGCAAATTTCTGATAAATAATATTTATAAAAACCTCTAAGAGACATGACTGAACACTAATGAGATCATGTACAAAAACTAACAGACTCAAAGCAACTAATGAATAATTGTCTCACTTTAACTGCATTTATGAAATCCAAGAGGGTGAAATCTTCTTTTCCATGTATAGTCCATCTGTCCCAAATTGTAAATGATATTCCATTTCTGTTGTAGAAAAATATTTAGAACAAAAATATTTACATTTTCTTCCCTTGAGTAATAATAAAAAACCCCCAGAAATCCACTATTTGTAATTTAACTAGATATTAATGTGGGAGTATAAAAAGGAAAATATAACTTAAAATATTCCAAAATTTTACTTCCCCAGTACACTACACAGGTAACCATTTTTATCAGAACCTTGTTATCTTTCTAATCTCATTATAAACCAGTATGTCTTAGCAAGAGAGTTTGGTTTCTCAACAGCTGCATGAGTTTCATTTCACTGTGTGGATGTTTCAGTCTCCTATCATCGGACACTTGAGATGTTCTAATCTTTGGCTATGATAAACAATGCCAGAATGAACATCCTATACATATATCATTTGAGATGAGTGAAACCGTTTATGCAAGTTTGAACCATAGTGCTGTATATGTTTTAATATGGGTCATATTATTTTATATTCTCACCAATAATGTACGAAAGTAAAGCTTTCTCACACTCTTGCCAAGATGGCAATTTTCAAATTTTTTGCTGTTACCAGTTTAAACTGTAAAAACTGAAAGTCCCAGGGAACTGTTCTGCTTTGTCATACAGCTTTTGGAACTAGATGCGTATTCTTATTATCCATTAGTCAGACTCTAGGGGTGGCTTCTAATTCATCTGAGTTAGGCAGACATAGATGAAACCATAAGAAAGTACAATGCTGAATAGTGTGGCAGATTAATAGTGTGCTGACTATACTATGGCTAGTTTAGTCAGCACTGCTTCACGTCAGATGCATAAGAATGAAACTGGACTCCTATCTTCCACCATACATAAAAATTATCTCGATTATCAGAATGAATTGAACCCCTGAATTAAGACCTAAAACCATAAAATTCCTAGAAGAAACTTTAGGTGGTAAGCACCTTAACACTAGGTTTTGGTGATGATTTTTTAGATTTGACAGCAAAAGTAAAGGCAACAAAATAAAAAATAAACAAGTGGGACTGTATCAAACTCAAAATCCTCACAGGGGAAAAAAAATCAACAAAATGAAAAGGCAACCTACTAAATGGGAGAAGATATTCGCAAATCATATGTCTGATAAGGATTTAATACACAAAATATATAACAAACTCAGACAACTCAACAGCAAAAAATGCATACAATTCAATAACAAAATGGGCAAATGACCTGAACAATTTTCCAGAGCAAACATACAGATGACCAATAGGTAGATAAAAGGATGCTCATTATTACTATCAGAGAAATAAAAATCAAAGCCATACTGAGGTATCATCAGACACCTGTTAAGATGGTTATCATCAAAAAAAACAAAAGGTTAACAAATGCTGCCAAGGATGTGAAGCAATTCAACCTCTTGTACATTTCTAGTGGGAATGTAAAATGATATAGCCACTATGGAATGCAGATTTAGGTTCTTCAAATAAAAACAGAAATATCATGTGATCTAATCCACTTCTGGGTATTTATCCAAAGAAAATGCCAACACTAACTTGAAAAGGTATCTGTACTCTCATGTTCACCGAAGCATTGTTTATATAATAGGCAAGACATAGAATTAATCTAAGTGTCCATTTTGGAGGACTGGATAAAAGAGTGTGGTGTCATATACAATGAAGTATTATTCAGCCATAAAAAGAATGAAATCCTGCCATTTGCAACAACAGAGATGGACCTTGAAGACATTATACTAAATAAGTCTGACAGAGAAAGACGGATACCTTATCACCTTATGTATATGTGGAATTTAAAACAAACCAACCATCTCTCTTCCCCAGAAAACTCAATCAACTAACTAGACAAAAATCAAAAAACCCATAAGCTGACAGAAACAGAAGCAGGTGGTGAGGGTGAACGAAATGGGTAAAGGGGATCAAGAGGTACAAACTCCTGGTCGTGAGCTAAGTCGTGGATACAAAATGTGCAGCACCGTGACTACAGTTACTAAATAATATTGCACTGCATATCTGAAAACTGCTGAGTGAGTAAACCCTGAATGTTCTCATCAGAAAAAAAATTCTGTAACTATGTTTGATAATGGATGGTGACTGAACTTATTGTGGTAATCATTTCACAACATATACAGGTGTCGAATCATTGTGTGGTACACCTGAAACTAAATTAATGTTGCATGTCAATTATATAATTAAAAAGAAAAAGGAAAAAAATGCTATATGAAGATGGGGTTATGACCTTGTCTTAAAGTGAAAGAAAAGATATGTTTGTGTAGAGAGGAAAAGGAGAGATAAAGATATTGCTTTTCCCTTTTAAAAAGCAAAAAAAAACTATTTCATTCTCATTATGCAAGAGAAGCAGACCTTCATGCATACCTGATCTCAGTTTTTCTTACTTCAGATGTCTCTGTAAACACTATGATTGGAATGGCTAAGTTAAGAAAACAATTTTTGTAAGCTTCAAATGGATAGTCGCCAGCTACTTTGATCATCTCCAATGCAACCTAGGTAAAAGAAGGTGATCTGATTATTTAAATAGCCTAAAACTAACTATGACTTTAACTGCACTTATATAATTTTCCTGAATTTTTCTCAAACATTTCTGTGTAGAGAATAAAAGTAGTTATTAGACTAGAGTAATAAAGATTTCTGTAAGTCTAATTAATGTGACCATGTCATCTTCCTACTTTGAAAGCAGACACCAACACTCAAGAAATACAGCTGTCTGAAATCATTTAATAATAGGAACAATAACTACATAGCTTCTACGAGTAACAGTACAGTATAGTATAACATTTAGTGTGGTCCTAAAGATTCTAAATTGTTAAGGAGTTGTTAAGGAAAGACTGAATCGAAAGAAATCCAAATCACTATCGAGAACAGCATTTTTTTAAGGCAAAGAACTAAAATATAATATTATCAAAGTGCAAAGTCTAGGCTAGTTCATTTTATTCAAGAAAAATAAAGCACATGGACTGTATGGCGGATACAAAGATGGTTAAGAGGATTATTGCTTGTAAGAAAAATTATACTCTAACTCAATGTAGCTTATTTAAAAATGTTTGCATCATCTGTAAAAGTTCAAAATACAAATTACTGTATTTTCAGAAATACCTTACAATTTTAAATTATAAGGTCAATAAGTATCCTTCCTTCTCTAAGGTCTCCGAGTGAATGGTTTAGGGGTGGTATAATAGGGAAGACAGGAAAGAAACAATGATATAGCAACATTTTCACAGAATTATAATCTCACCAAGCCAGAAACTGCAGCAGTAGATGTTGCTATAGCAGGTATAATTCTACCTGCTATGCGCTTTGTTTTCAAACGGTCAGCGGGTTCAATACTATACATTTTGGCACGAAGATTTGATGCAGCTGTGATGAAATCTACGTGTCCATTATGATCATCATCTTTTTCAAATGAAAGCACTGCCATCTGAAGGTCACCTGATGATAACAACCAAAAAAACAAAGTTTGCTAGTAAGTAATAAAGGCTTTACTAAGTAAAAGCCACATGGGCTCACTACTGTTGAAGAATCCTTCCTGTGTTTTGTTTAGCTTTGTAAGTAACTGAAAAATACAAAAAAAAAAACAAGAAAGAAAAGTCAGAGAACTGAAGTTACTGAAGAATATGAAAATGATGGCTTTAATACCACTAAATTAGAGAAATTTTGATATTAAAAAATTTTTCTAAAAAATATAAAAACAAAGCCATGTACATTTACTATTAAACAGTTTACAATAAAAAAGTCAACACTGGGTACTGTTCAAAAACTGATTCCCTAAGTACTACTCTGAAATATTTTACCTCTGATAACTAAGAATAGAGTCAACCAGTCAAATAAAAATAAATATTTTGGAGGAAGTTTTTTAGATTAATTTGTGGTTTCCCAAATCATTCTGCAGACAGGTATAGCTTGATCTGTGATGAAATGAAAAAGTAAGAAATGGTAATGTTTTTTCTAGAATTCTATTAACTTAGGATATCAACTGTTTATGTGCAAAATAAATAGTTGGCTATAAATCACACAGTTGTGTCCAACTCTTTGCGACCCCATGAACTGTAGCTCGCAGACTCTGTCCATGGGATTCTTCAGGCAAGAACCACTCTCTTCTCCAGGGTAACTTCCCAACACAGGGATTGAACCTGGGTCTCCCACATCGCAGGGAGATTCTTTCACTGTCTGAGCCCACCAGGGATGCCCTAAATAGTTGGCTAATCTAGGCTTTTTTCTTGAATTTTACTGGTCTTTATGTAAAATCCCCAAAGTTTGGAAACTGCTGATTTATGTAGTTAAAGGATGCTGAGGAGGTCTCAAAACATAAGCTAGTACAGATCTGTTTTTCAGTAATTAAAAGTTCAGTTTCCTATATTTAAGATCATTTAGCAATGGTGTACAAAGCTCAGATTTATACTACCTGTGTATAATTATGGAGGCCAAGAAGAAATCTGTCTATAATCTTTTTATCCTAAAGTGATTTAACTGGGTCTCAGGTTTAGCCCGGCTTCTCTAGTATCTCAGCTGGTAAAGCATCTGCCTGCAATGCAGGAGAGCTGGGTCTGATACCTGGGTTAGGACTTCCCCTGCAGGAGGGCATGGCAACCCACTCCAGTATTCTTGCCTGGAGAATCCCCATGGACAGAGGAGCATGGCGGGCTGCAGTCCATGGAGTTGCAAAGAGTTGGACACGACTGAGCAACTAAGCATGCACGCACACACGCAGGGTTAGTCTCCACAAGGACTCCATTTTTCATTCATTCTGCTAGCGCTAAGTTATAAAGCAAGGACGTAACAGAATCTCAAGGAATAAAGAATCAGAACAACAAAAACAAAGCAGACTTACATATCAGCCTTGAAGGGTAAGGAAATGGTGGAGAAAACTGGCGAATTCAGTTATAGTTCAAGATGAATAGTGACTTTCATATGATTATAAAATCAAGTAATATCATTATTATTACTGTTATTATTTAATTTCACAACCTTCTGAGTGTAGAGTTTAGTGAAAATAAAATATTTTTAGCTCAAAGTATTTTTATAAGGATTTCCCCTTACTTGTGGTAGCTTCATTAGATGAAATAGCCTTTTCTAGTTGGAAAACAGCATTCCTCTCATCTTCACTGCTCACAGGAACATGGTCTGGTTTCCTCGCAGTTTCATCTGTTTGAACAACCTTTGAATATATGTATATGTATTCATTAATGATATCACCTCTTACACAGAGCTTAATTAACATATCTGCTTTTATCAAAGAAGTCATAAAGAGGAAACATTCTATCTAGTTTAATTAGATTATTAACCACTATGGTCCAAAGTATTTTATACTTTATATTGATAAATAATATTATATTATTTACATATTTATTATCTACTGCCTCACACTGACACATAAACTCTATGAGAACAGGAGTTTTTATCTGAGAGAATCTCAATATATCTAAAATAAACCTGCCTAAGTTAAAGATACTTACTGAATACTTTATAAGATCTGAGTTCATGCAAATTTCTTTTAAAATTCCACACTAAAATAAAGTTAATATTAATCAATAGCTTGCAATTCTGAAAAATCAACTTCAAACCAAATTATGTATCTCTAACGAGTGCAAAGTTCTTTTGTGTCTCAAAGAAATTGAAGAAGTCCACAAACCATATAATATGGGCACAAAAAATATTTATTGAATGCTGACAAGAAGTTCTATCCCAAAGAATATGTGTTCCTTCTAGCTGCATGCTTAGGACAGCACATAAAAGTAATCTATCTTTAAGAAATTACTTATTAAAAACAAGGTTAGAGAAGTTTAGATCCGTTCAGTTCAGTCGCTCAGTCATGTCTGACTTTTTATGATCCCATAGACTGCAGCACATCAGGCCTCCCTGTCCATCACCAGCTCCCAGAGCCTACTTAAACCCATGTCCATCAAGTTCATGATGCCACCCAACCATCTCATCCTCTGTCGTCCCCTTCTCCTCTTGCCTTCAATCTTTCCCAGTATTAGGGTCTTTTCTAATGAGTCGGTTCTCCGCATCAGGTGGCCGAAGTATTGGAGTTTCAGGCTCAGCATCAGTCCTTCCAATGAGTATTTGGAACTGATTTCCTTTAGGATTGACTGGTTGGATCTCCCTGCAGTCCAAAGGGCTCTCAATAGTCTTCTCCAACACCAAAGTTCAAAAGCTTCAAGTCTTCAGCACTCAGCTTTCTTTACAGTCCAACTCTCACATCCATACAGGAGTACTGGAAAAACCACAGCTTGATTAGACGGACCTCTGTTGGCAAAGTAATGTCTCTGCTTCTTAATATGCTGTCTAGGTTGGCCATAACTTTTCTTCCAAGAAGCAAGTGTCTTTTAATTTCATGGCTATAGTCACCATCTGCAGTGATTTTGGAGCCCCCCTCACAGTTTGTTGTGATCCACACAGTCAAAGGCTTTGGCATAGTCAATAAAACAAAAGTAGATGTTTTTTTGGAACTCTCTTGCTTTTTTGATGATTCAGCAGATATTGGTAATTTGATATTCTCAAACCAAGAAACTAGCTACATCATTACTAAAATACTACTTCGTTTTTAAAAAGACACATCCAACCCCCATTTTCCATATTAAATATTATAAGTATTTGAGAAATATTAAGGAGTCAAGGAAGCAGTAATTTTTATTTGCTTGAATGTCCAGTTGATTTTTTTGGCTGTGGCATCTGTTAACTAGGAGTGCCAGACCCTGAAGCTTTGGGGAAGCGGCTTTAAGGAGTTTTAAGCTAATAAGTCCTGTTAAAATTGTGACTTAATTGCTCAGGATGATATATTACCCCTAAACTTCAATACAGAAAGAAGCAATTCAAGCTAGAAAACACTGAAGAGAGCAGTAAAGACCTGCAAAGTTATTGATGCATATTTCCCTGGCGGCTGTCTAGCAGTTTTGTCCATTAGAAACATAGGCAAGGAATTTTGTTTATACTTTCTGTACTTTTGTGACTACAAGTCAGGAATATTTCATTCAGAAAGTCCATTTACTTGTACAAAATGAACTACCTACAAGTTTCCTTTTCTCTAAAATAAAAATGCAGAGTGGAAGACTGCAAAACCATTTCCTACTTGAATTTTGCATGGAGGCAGTCATTACTCCACACTTTCCAGTATAGTTAAAGGATAAGGGGAACAGAAGGGTTCTGTTTATTGTTAAGGGTTTACTGTTTATCGTTACTGTTAAGGGTTTTGTGGTTTATTTATTTATTTTTAGAGTGCATACAAAAAGGGATATGATGAACTGAAAAAAATATTTAGTATTTGAAACTTTCCTATTTACCCTGCGTAAATTTCATGTTCCACCTTTATTAATACTCCCTGTCTCTCTCTCCTTCCAACATATTTGCCTGGCAAAATTCCAACCCTTGTTAAAATCCTATTCCCAGCTATTCTACAAGAGCATCCAAGCAGCTAAACTGCCTTTTCTCCAGACTCATTTGGTGGAATACATTATTGGAATTAACATTAAGTGGATCCTAAGCATTGTCTCAAAATGATACATTTTCTAATTTCTCACTTAGCCCATGGCAATTATTCATATCTTTCTTTTTTCACTCTGCTCAAACATCCTCTATCTTTTCCCCATCACTCAGAGCTATTAATCTTGTTTCTTTTCTTCAACTAAGAAAACAACAATCTTTTTTTCCCCCTCTCATACTCAAAGCAATTCCTTATAAATCCTGTCAGGGCTACAGCAAAATATACACAGAATTCAACCTTTAAAACTTCCCTTACTTCATCCAAATCACTGTCATCTCTTGCCTATAATATCCTAATAGCTTATTTTGCTTCCTCTATCATGTCCCATATAATCCTTCTTAACACAACTGCCAAGGTCCTCCTTTTAAATATGTCAGATTGTACTCTGTGTTTTAAATGTTCAGTTGGCTTAGAGCATAATAAAACATAAAGTACTTATCATAACCCTCACTACCTCTCCAATCTCACTGTCTACCACTCTTCTCTTGCATAGTCTCCTCGAGAAAAACTCCAGCCTTCAAAGTCTTTGAAGGCCTTTCTCTCATTTTCTTCCTCTGCTGTTTGCACTGCTTTTCCACCAGATAATAACATGGCTCACTCCTCATTTCCTTCAGGCTTCTGTTCAGACATAACCATATCAGAGAAGCTGTCTTCTGGCTCACATAAAATGACACCAGCCCCATCACCTTTGTTTCCCTGCTTTGCCTTTTCTTACTAGCTCTTCTGCCCGTAATGCAGTATTACATAATTATTGGCACTTTTAAAAAATAGTCTGTCTTTGGTCCCTTAGAATATAACTCCTACAAGAACAAGAATTTTGTTCATTATGGGCTTTTCCAGGTTTAGAATGAAACTTGACACAAGAAGTAGTTCAATAATTATTTGCTGAATGAATGAACTTGTACACGTACCTTGTCGGATGGTTTGAATTCCTGAATCTTTACTTCGGAAAGAATACTCAACAGGGTATCTGCTGATAAGTCCTGATTTTAAAACAGTAATTTTTATCAGCATATTCTTAAAATTCTGAATTCTACAGCTAAAAACAACCAAAAACGGTACTTTAACATGCTAAAATAGTTGAGTAATTTGTAACTGTTTAGACCACATCTGTGTGTTTGTGACATTTACTTTTATTTCTATAGAAATATCATCCATAAAGGCTGGGAGGTGGGGTGGTGCATGTAAAAAAGAACTTAATAGTCAACATATTAGTTGACCGAAATCTTAGCGTCTTTCCACAAATTCTTAAAAAGTTAGTTTTAGGACTGCTTTTGAGTATCACAGAGTGCCCTGAGATCAGGAACTCTCTATTCAGTGTTTTAAAAAGTTCCCTGCAGAAAGCTTTACTCAATATAAACTGACTCAATAAATAAATGAATAAATGAATAAATGGAATTCATACCCTCAGAAGCTGGAAAATATTTACATGGTTCAAGATAAACTTAGATGAATTTAAAGCTATGTATGTTTTCATTATTACGAATCTGCTTAGGAAAAACTGAGACATAGTGCTTTTGAAGTCACCTACAACTCATCACAAATTCACATTTTTCACAAGAAGAATAACTGGATACCATTATCTTTAGCAGACATTTATCGTATATTTTACTGTGTTTTAACCCCAAAAGGGATTAATCTACATTTTTATGTAGATTCAAAAGAGCCAGTGCTAGTTATGAATCTGGCTGATGTTCTCCTATTCAGCGTAGTACCTAAAGTATAACAATTTATTTAGCTCTATTATGCATTTGAGGATGAAGATTCACTAATGCAGACCTCCCTTTCAAATAAAACTGCATTAGATCCTTTATATATTAGTCAATGTCTAAGAAAAAAATGTATAAATGATAAAAGTTAAGAAATGTTAATATGGGAGAGCATTTTCAGATCTCCTGAGATGCACATAGGTTAATTTCACAAAATAAGCCAAACAAATGTTAATAAAGAGAACCACTAAGGAATATTTAAAATTTGTTATGATATAGGTCACTTTGGGTTTTCAAAGTAATTATAATAGTTAAAGTTTGTCGGTCACGAACATTTTAAAAATAAAGTTAAGAATTCTTTCACAAATATTTGTTTCACTACTTAAATTCAGAAAGAAAAATTAAACTTTCTTCTACTTAGTAATGCTGCAATGACGTGTTTAGCTTCTGCTATATTAGAAAGGGCAACACTACAACAAAATTAAACGTTTATATTAAAGAATGATTCTTATAAAACATGTTCTGATGATGCAATTAAGCTAGGTCTTCTAATTCTAATTATTTCTATCACTTATTAGGGTTTGAAGAATATCTTACCTCTTCTGTAAATGGAATGCAATAGATTGTAGCATATAATTTTGCAGCATTTAGAAGAAAACTGAAGTGCCTTTTGAAATTAAAAAAATAAAGTGTGAGTGTACAATTTCAAAGATGTTTAATTCATCAGAAACTATAACCTTTAAAATGTTGAAGATAAGTAATGTTCAGGATTATGGTTTTTTTTTTTTTTAATTAAGCAATGAAATTCTGGTCTAGACCAAGGCATTGCCAAAGCTATAAAAAAGAAAACATCAGATGTTTCTTTTCATAAGCACTATTATTCAGGTAGTGATCAAGACTATTCTGGGGAGAGAAGTGGCCAGAAGTAAGAAATTAAAGTATTGAAAGAAAATTCATTTTAATTCATAAGAAAATATTGCAAATTTGGTTTTAAAAGGTGTATAATAAGATCAAACTAAGCAAATGAGTGTGTTTAAAAAAAAAAGCCGCTGTGGTACATATACACCATGGAATATTACTCAGCCATTAAAAAGAATTCATTTGAATCAGTTCTAATGAGATGGATGAAACTGGAGCCCATTATACAGAGCGAAGTAAGCCAGAAAGATAAAGACCATTACAGTATACTAACACATATATATGGAATTTAGAAAGATGGTAACGATAACCCTATATGCAAAACAGAAAAAGAGACTCAGATGTATAGAACAGACTTGTGGACTCTGGGAGAAGGCGAGGGTGGGATGTTTCAAGAGAACAGCATTGAAACATGTATATTATCTAGGGTGAAACAGATCACCAGCCCAGGTTGGGTGCATGAGACAAGTGCTCGGGCCTGGTGCACTGGGAAGACCCAGAGGGATCGGGTGGAGAGGGAGGTGGGAGGGGGGACTGGGATGGGGAATACATGTAAATCCATGGCTAATTCATTTCAATGTATGACCAAAAACTACTGTAATGATGTAAAGTAATTAGCCTAAAAAAAAAAAAAAAGAAATTAAAAGACGCTTGCTCCTTGAAAGGAAAGCTATGACAAACCTAGACAGCATATTAAAAATCAAAGGTAACACTTTGCTGATTAAAAAAAAAAAAAAAAAAAGCCAAGTTTTACAGAAGCAGCAGTCAGGGTAAGGTGACTAGAATAAGCACCAGAGGATAAAAACAAAGCACAGAGTTCCTTGTTGAAAGTGCTTAATTAAGCTAAGTGCTCAATTAAAATGTGCACATAAGTGAGTGTGTGTGTTTATAAATGTGTATCTAATACAGATAGGATATACAGGTATTTACTCAAAAATCAACTCCTTTGAAAATTAATCTGAGAATATTAAGGGAGTTATTTATTAGTAATCATTCTCCCCCATATAACCAAAGTTTCTTATATACTGAGTTCATTAAATAGGAGAACATTTGTTTTCATTTTACATTTTTTACAAATAAAGTCAAAGAGATGACACTTTGGTTGCAGTTTAGAATAGATAAAACTAATGAGGTTTATTTACCATGTAAATAAACAGGTTCATTTATGTGGGAAGAGAACTATGGCTGGCTTTCTTGGTCAAAATGCTATGTTAATTCTTAGATTAAGATGGATGCAATATTTTAACACTAAAATGTTTGAAGTTTTTACCCTGTAATGTAAACCTAAACAGTTAAGAGGTTTACAATGAAGGATGTTTATAAAACTGGATATATATACTTACAAAGGTTCATTCAGATCAAATTTTAATGGAGAGGGGGGTCTCTTTGGTGACTGCCAAAACAAACCTAACAAAATAAAAAAGAATACATTATTTTCAATTTCAGCAGACAATAATAAACTGCATTAAACTTTCTTCTCAATACTTACTGCCATCTTTTAATTGTGTGTCCAGAGGGAAACAGTGAAGCAGCTGAAGAGCCTAAAGAAAAAAACTGAATTAAAAACGATCACTACTCATCATTAACTGAAGTAAAAAAAAAAAAAGAAACATAAAAAGATATACAGTGAAGTCTCCCAATCACCCTGTACATTATCTGTCCATTCTCCTGTCACTGACCCCAACTGTCACTTGGAATAACCTCTAGCTATTTTTTTATCATCACTAACATATATATTTTTTTGCATCTATGGCAAATATGAATAAAGATTATTTTATCCCTTTTACATAAATGGAGGCATACTTTAGATCTCATTCTGTCCCTTTTGGAGAAGGAAATAGGAATCCACTCCAGTATTCTTGCCTGGAGAATCCCATGGACAAAGGAGCCTGGTGGGCTAATGTCCACGGGATTGCAAAGAGTCAGACATGACTGAGCAACTAAACAGCAAACTGATCCTTTTGAAGAGCTAATTCTTAAACAAACATACAAAAAAATCCAGTAAAAATACATTGCATTTTTTATTTTGAAATGATATGACGTTTGAGATTTGCTTCAAAACCATCCAGGGGGAGGGTATACTAGGTGGGATATACATGAAACAGGATTTCTATGAGTTCTGTGATTCTGTGCATGCATGCCTAGTCATGTCTGACTCTTTATGACCCCATGGACTGTAGCCTGCCAAGCTCCTCTGTTCATGGGATTTTCCAGGCAAGAATACTAGAGTGGGTTGCCATTTCTTCCTTCAGAGGATCTTCCCAACCCAGGGATAGAATTCACATCTCCTGAGTCTCCTGCATTGGTAGGCAGATTCTCTACCACTGAGCCACCTGGGGTTCTATGAGTTGGTAATTGTTAAACCTGGGTGACAAATATATGAGGAGTACATGGGAGATTCATTACAAGCTACTTTCTCTATTATTTCTGTGGCTGAACTTTTCCATAATAAAAAAACTTTAAAAACCCACAGACAATAAGGACAAAAAAAAAAAGTTCTTTAGATTTTGAAACATGAGGTCACTGATAGTCATGGTAAGAATAATTTCAATGGTTGTGGGGAAAGAAGACACATATTGGATAGAGGTATGGCAAGTGAGTACAGACCACTTTTCCAATAAGCAGAGCAAAAAAAGGAAGTGAAAGCAGGGTTAAGTATAATTTAAAAAGTTTTAAAACAGATGAACTTATTTTACATTTCAATAGGTAAGAGCCTAAAAAGAGGGAGAGATGAAAGACAGTGATGGACACATTTCAGGAACTGTATGTAACTGGAGAAAGAACAACATCTAACATTTCACTAAATATTTATGGGCATTTATTTATGGGCCAGGTTCTATGCTAAATACTTTGCATGTATTAACTCACTTAATCCTCACCACTACACTATGAATCAGGTACCAATTTATTACCCCCATTTTACAATGAGGAAACAGACAAAATGTGATTATTAGATTTAGATGAAGAAGGCAAAATTTCTGATGCAATCTTTATTCTCTTAGTCTCGTGTTTTAATTTGAACAAAAAACTTCTTTTAAGACTGATTAAATTTATTCCTTCTTTAGAAGGAAATTGTATTTTAAAACCCATTTTGTACACAGAAAGCCAAGAATTACTTAAATGCACAACCGACAAGCCAACGAGGAGTTTAAACACATTCTACCTAGTGACTCAGATGGTAAAGAATCTGCCTGCAATGCAGGAGACCAGGGTTGATCCTTGGGCTGGGAAGGTCTCCTGGAGAAGGGAATGGTACCCACTCCAGTATTCCTGCCTGGAGAATTACATGGACAGAGGAATCTGGTAGCTACGGTCCATGGAATTACAAAGAGCTGGAACGACTCAGCGACTAACACTCTCACACTTGAATCAGTAACATTCAGCAAGAAATCGGTTGTGTGTCCATCATTTGTTCTCAGTTAACCTATTCATTTCTGGGAGGTGGGAGGGGGGTTCAGGATGGGGAACACATGTAAATCCATGGCTGATTCATGTCAATGTATGGCAAAAACCATTACAATACTGTAAAGGAATTAGCCTCCAACTAATAAAAATAAATGGGGAAAAAAGAAAACTTTATTCATTTCTGAAAAGGTTCCCAAAACAAAGAGTAGACGTTTCAGGTCAATTAAATGAATGTCATAGCAATTAAATGAGCCAAGTTTAGACTTTTTCTAAATGTTTTACAGTATACACATACCTTATGGTTAAAATATTTTTCAAACTTTAATCTTGCTAATTCTACACACTGGGGCCAATTTCTAGGTCTTCTGCTAAGTAACTTAATCACTTGAAAACAGCCTTCCAAACTGTGTCCAGTTTGTATCTTCTAGAATGAGGAAAAAACAAAACAAACACATGTCCGATTAATCACACAAATATATACATGCATTTCCCAGGAATTGTTAGCCAACTTTTGAAGTGCTAGCTCATGTGCCTTAATTTATTATTTTCATATCAAGCTCCCTGTCTCTGTCTTTCTCCTTTCCTTCTTTCTTTTCTTTTTTGGAGGGGGAAATGGGAAAAGACCGCACGTAAAATTTTAACTCTCAAATTGTTTCTTACCTCACAAGTCATCCTCATGTCTTGCTAGCTGTAAGTTAATACTATAAATGTACTTATTATAAGAAGTGTTGTTAATAATATTTTACACTAAAAAGTTGGCCTTTTTAGTACAGAATTGAAGCAAAGTAAGAAAGCAGTTTTGAAGCTGTCCTTACCATGAGACTAATAAAATCTGAAAGCTCAGCCTATTTCTGAAATCTTCTCTAGAACTTACCTCAGTTTTTTCCAAAGAGCTTAACAATCTTGTTTTATTATTTGCAGCTGTCTCATCGTTATTATCATACCCTTATTAGGCTGAACCATATGAACTCCTGTTCTGTGAGTCAAACATGGTAAAATATTGGCAATTCCATATAGTTTGACCAAACTAAAATAAGAAGGTTTATTTGTGACCTGCTAACCTCAGGATTCCTCAAATACTTCCTTACTATGTAAATAATAATGCATAATCTCTGTTTAAGAACGTAAAATAAATTATTTATAGGCAACTTGAGAGTAAGATTACAATGACAAAATGTTGGGGTTAGTAGATACAAACTATTATATACAGAATGGATACACAACAAGGTCCTACTGTACAAAACAGGGAACTACATTTAATACCCTGTGATAAACCATAATGGAAAAGAATATGAAAAGGAATGTGTGTGTGTGTATTTGTATATATGTAAAATTGAAGCATCTTACTATACTGCAGAAATTAACACTATACTGTAAATTAACTATACTTTAAAATAAAGTGTACTGATTTTTACCTGTAAGACTTCTTCTGCAGATGGATAAGTTTGCCAAAATTTGTTAAACAATGAAGGCTTGTAGGAAAAGGAACTTTCAAACTATAACAGAAAAGAGGAAAAAAATATTATAAGTAGGAGTCTGTTTAAAAGTTAGATATACCATCTTTTCTACTTCATAGAAAAATTTCTTATACAGTATCTTTATTACCTTATCTCTTGCCCATTGTATAGTGTGTTCAATAGCAGCTGGAAAGGATTTTAGGGTACAAAATGGTATTTCCTCTTCTGGGGGATCCCGCTAATTTATAAAATATGATAACAGTTAGCAGCAATGACAATTTTTAATGGATTAAATTTACTTGAGTGTTTTTTTTTTCCATTTATTTTTATTAGTTGGAGGCTAATTACTTTACAACATTGCAGTGGTTTTTGTCATACATTGAAATGAATTAGCCATGGATTTACATGTATTCCCCATCCCGGTCCCCCCTCCCACCTCCCTCTCCACCCGATCCCTCTGGGTCTTCCCAGTGCACCAGGTCCGAGCACTTGTCTCATGCATCCAACCTGGGCTGGTGATCTGTTTCACCCTAGATAATATACATGTTTCAATGCTGTTCTCTTGAAACATCCCATACTTGAGTGTTTTAAGACCATTAAGAAATAAAATTCAAAAATGAAATAAATCCAACTTTTAAAAAATCTTTTTCCTAGGCATTAAGGGGAAATGATTCTTCTGACACTTAACAGACTTGTTTATATGGCAAGGTAACAACAAACTCCTCTGGTATCATGTAGTACCATAACAGACTACCGTATATAATTATTTTATTTTTCTCAAAGCATCGAGGTGACATTTAAAACTTTATAACATTGTTTATTTTGAAAAGTAATTAGAGAATTCCTAATACAGTGCTCAGCATACCATGAGTTTCTTTCTCCAAGGAGAAACAATATTTGTAAATAGGAATCATGTACTCTTGATGCTTGGTATGGTCTCTTACAGAAAGCATGTATTAAATAAATGATAGATGTCTTTGTTGTGTCATGTGAAAATGAAGAAATCCACATTTATTACAGGGTACTTTTGTACGTTTAGTCTTATTGGCTTACCCAATCTAAAACAACTCACTTTGTCTCTTTTTACTTAGAGAATTTTTTTTTAATTGTAAAGATTTGTGCTTATTATTTTTTCTTTAATTTTTTATTTCATGGCTGTGCTGGGTCCAGTGTGCAGGCTTTTTCTACTTGTAGCAGGAGGGGGCCACTCTCTAGTTGCTATGTGCAGGCTTCTCACTGAGGAGGCTTCTCTTGTTGCACAGCACAGGCTCTAGGGCACACGGGCTTCAGTAATAGCAGAGTACAGGTCCAGTAGCTGTGGCTCGTGGGCTCTAGAGAATGGGCTCAGTAGTTGTGGTATACAGGCTCTAATGCCCCATGGCATGTGGAATTTTCCCAGACCAGAGATCAAACCCATGTTCCCTGCCCTGGCAGATGGGCTGTTAACCACTGGACCACCAGGGAAGTCCTTACTTAGAGATTTGTATTTTACTTTGTTGATCTATAAAATACTACGAAATATTTTATAAGTCAAGAGGAAAGTCAGAAGAAACATTTAATTCTAGTTTTCCTGAATATGAAGGCACAGTATATAAATACAGGAGAAGGTTTGGGAAAGATGTGGTAGTATGAGAGAATCAGGACTTTCCGAAATTTGCAACATCCCCTATTTTGAAACTCTTTCAGAATGACCCCGGCATATCATGATTTTCTCCATCTAATTTACTTCAAATCAAACTTATCAACTTTGTCTCTTATCATGTCTTTACCATATAAACTTCTGATTTCACGAGAGGGGAAAACAAATTTTATTAAAATTTAAAAATTTTAATAAACCATATTACATCCATTAAATAAAGGGAATGTTGATGCTTATAAAATAATATTCTTTCAATTTTACAAATAGGGCTGACCTTTTTAAAATTCTTTTTAAAGCCCACAATTATTTCCTAGACTAGTGATTTTTAAATTTAGTAGTATCTCAATATCACTTGTAGAGGTTAAAGAAAAAGTTACATTTATATCATTTATATAAAATATACAGGTATAAATGGCTTGGTTCCTCATATGGAGAAACAGTCTTCAGTAAGATTTTGGGCGGGTCACTAAGGTTGTTAGAAAACTAATCAAGCAGCAATAAGAAACAGTAAACTCATAAGAATAATATTCCAGAAAGACCAGAAACAAAATTCTGATTCTTAAAAAAATACATTTAGGGCTTCCAGGTGGCTCAGTGGTAAAGAACCCGCCTCCCAATGCAGGAGACACAGATTCAATTCCTGGACCAAGAAGATCACCTGCAGTAGGAAATGGCAACTCACTCCAGTATTCTTGCCTGGGAAATCCCATGGACAGAGGAGCCTGGTGGGCTACAGTCTATGGGGTAAGTAAGAGAGTCAGACATGACTTAGCAAATAAAACAACAAGAAAGTGAGTTTAACTACATGTTTTAAAATGTCTACGCATATATGCACAAACATCATTGGCAGATCAAAATCAGAACAGATTAGGGATGCTTAACCAAATGTGCTGACATAAAGAGAAACAAATCATGAGATAGAAAAATGATGAGATATAAAGAGACATTTACTTAGAAAAACTGGTTCGCTTACATGACTATTGTAGGATTCGGTTAAATGAGGTACAATGACTTCGGTGTGCCCCTTGGTGCCCATCGTCCCAGAATCTAAGAGGGGCCGTAGATTCGCTAAGCATCGGCTATGCGAAAAGAAGGTAGGTAACAAACACAGAAGTTAGCAACAACAACGTTAAGCAGAGGACATCTACCAATGTTTACTGACCATTACACATGCTGATCACTTCTTGGCTATAATATTTTAGGAAACAGATACATTACCACCAAAAACCCATTTATTATTTCCATCTGCTTCCTCCCATAAACTGTGTTGCTCAATGTAGCAACTTTTGCCTCTACCTTCCATTACCAAAATTTAGTAGTTTTAGAAGAAGATATATTATATTTATCTTGTTCTAAAATGCCTACAAAATTGTGCTCTTATTTTTTTTTCTTCTGGGTTAACTCTTAATTAATGTATTACTCTTTCTTCTCATGCTTTCTATTTCTTCTTTGGTTATTTTCTGTATTTTTTGACTCTCTCTATAACTATATATATATATATACAGAACTCTCTCTATATATCTACCTTACTATGGGCTTCCCTGGTGGCTCAGTGGTAAAAAGTCTGCCTGCAATGCAGGAGCCAAATATTCTATCCCTGGGTCAGGAAGATCCCCTAGAGAAGGGCATGGTAACCCACTCCAGTACTCTTGCCTGGAAAATCCCATAGACAGAGGAGCCTGGCAGGCTACAGTCTGTAGCATCGCAAAGAGTTGGGGACACAAGTGAAGTGACTGAGCACAAACACACCTTACTATATCTTTTCAACATTTTCTTTATCCCAAACTCTTTCTAAAGAGTTACAATACCTATATTCTGTATACTTGCATTTCTTAAAGTTTCTTTTTTGTTCTTTTGCTGGCCAAGATTACAAACTTTCCACTATACTCTCAACTGGTAAATATTCCTGCTAATTAATCTGCTCTAGCACTCTAACATCAAAGAGTCATATAAACATGTAAGAAAGATTATATAAGGTGTGTATATCACAGTCATTTATTCATCTACTTATTTAATAAATATTTACTGAATGACATCATGTATTGGGCACTGAAGATAGTGTGATGGGAAAATAATAACTGAATAAATGATTTAGTGAGGAAACAAAGATTAAATAAATATGCACATCAATAAAAATAAGTGCTATGAAGGAAGAAAACAGTACTGTGAAAGATTATCAGAGAAGGATCTAATTTAGAATTTAGGGGTTAAAGAAAGTTTGTTTCAATAAAGACACTCAGGCTGAAACTAAAAGGATGAGGGGAAAAAAACTAAAGGAAGTGAAGTAGGTAGATTTGGGGTTGAGTTTTAGAATATAAACACAATTTCTTGAGATTGAAGAAGAGTATGTGCAAGTCCCTGAGGTGAAATGTGTTAGATGTTCCCCTGTAAGAACTGAAAGAAAGAAAGTGTAGCTACAATAAGGAAAGTCAGGGAAAAATAGCAAATTAAGCTGGAGTCATGGACAGGTGGCAGATACTCTATGAAAAAAATTTAGGTTATTTTAAAGACTTAAAATTTTACCCTATCTATAGCGGAAATCATCAGAAGTTTTGGGTTCAAGAACTATAATAGGAATGTAAAGAATAATCAGAAAATTCAGTAATTGTTCAATAAATAGGTATAAAACATGAAGTAAAAACAAAACAAAGAGAATTTCTTTGAACTTGAATTTTAAGAACATACCTGTCTACATATCTCCTGGCTTCCACATTATCTAATGCTGTAATAATTATATCCTGCTTAGTATAGAACTCATCATTGTAAATCGCCTCAGTGGCTGAACATACTTTGTTCAAATGTGCATCTATCTTTAACTGAGGATTTATTTTCAGGGTAGCATCAGCAGCAGTATAGCTTTTAGGCTTCTAAATAACATATAAACACAGAGGAAATAAATGTTAACAGGAAAAATAGACCATGATTGAACATATACAATTTACATATGAAGAATAATGTAATGAGATTGTCATTTTTAGTTTGTGAAAATTATATTTGTTGTGGTCACGCTACATTTAATATTGCATATTAAAATTAATAATTTACACATTATTATGAAAAATATAAACAACCTATATTTTATAATTATGTGCTTTAGAATTCTTAAAATATTAGTTACAAGTCCAATTAAATGAACATTTTTCTCTATTAATGAGGTTTGAATTGGTTAAGTGCCTACAAAAAGTTGAGAACACATTCAGCAAAATATCAGAAATGTTAAGTTCTGCAGAAAATGAGCTCAGAGGTATGGTAATTCAACATTTTGGTACTAAAATCTTTCAAAAAAATTTGCCATTTCTGGATGGATATATTTAAGAAATTATTTGTTTCAGTTTTATAAAAAGATTACACATCCTTTTCTTAAAGATTTAATGATCATTTTTAAAATCACTGGTGTCATTTCAAATGTTACACACAAACTGTAAACATTAGAAGTTTAAAGCAAACAGGCCTTAATAGTTCTTATGTAAGTAAAATGCACAAAGTTCAGTGAATGAATATTATGACATAAATTTTAGTTCATTAAAGACCCTGTTACTTAGTTCTTTATATTTGGATAGGTGAGCCATTTGGTTAACTATGCCACTTATACAACTATATGAAAGAATGCTTTACCTTTCTGTTTATGATATTTCTAAGCTTATTTACTAAGATTCTCAATGAGTTGTAAAACAGTAAAGTGAAAAAACATTTCTAAAGTCAGAGCAAAGTTACCTGACTGTTTTTTTTCCTGACAAATATTTTGACCTCTATAAAAAAGACAGAAAATAAGCACTGGTTTATAATCAAAATGGATTGATAACAAGATCAAAAGAGCAAAAAATTCTCAAAGTTTGTTTTATAATAAAACTTAAAAAGAGTGTCAAATCTGTCACCTATAAAAAACTTCAAATTAGGGAACCTGTTTTTATATCCTTAGATGTTTCTAAAGTTAAATACATGATACACCTTGATTATAAAATGACAAAAATATTGCCCATGTTTCACAACTCAGATTTTAACATCCAGAATCAACACAAAAATAATTTTTATATTAAAATAAAATTATTTATTTTCCCTGTCATTCCCATTGTTTGATAATTTGAGAGATTCTAATAAAATAAAGATACTATGCTTGTTCAAGCACCATTTTCTATTTTTCTATTTAACACAATAGAGGATTTAAATCTGAATCAGTATAACAACACACCTGTATGTGATGAGGACGAAATAGGAACTGTCTATTCAAGTTGGATTTTTCTATCAAGTCAGGATCTGTTACTGTAACCTAATATCAAAGAAAAAAAATGACCGAAATTACATAAGAGATAAGTTTAAATTGACTTCTCTTTCCTCTGAATGACCAACACCCACAAGTTATAAATCATTTTGGCTGGTGAAAGTTATAATAAAAAATACTCAAAACTGGTTACCAATACTACTGTTTTTATACTTACATTTAAAGATGATATTTAACTTAAGAATATGTCAAACAAAACAGCTGAAACCAATCACAGATCCTGATCAAAACAACTTTTTCCTTCATAACAAAATAGAGGCTAAATATCACTATCACATTTTAGAAACACATAATGGGTTAGTCATAGAAGAGTCAGCTCTTTTTTCTATACATGTTTATTCTCAATTTTGATTGAAAAGAACACTTACATGTTTCAATTTGAAAGGAACTCTTGCTAAAAGCAGAGGTATACAAACTATAGTGCAGGCGGCTGTTTCTATAAATAATTTTTACTGGAACACTGTCACACCATTTGTTTAAGTATTGATTGTGGTTGTTATTTATACTGCAACAGCAGAGCTCAGTAGCTATGACAGACTTAACATCCACAAACCTAGAACAGTTACAGTCTGGTTAAGAAAAAATTTGCATACCTCCATTTTAAAGGATGCAAGATGAAAGTAAAACAGAGAGAAGACAATATAAAAAGTAGTCATAATGCATTTGTCACTTAAGCTAGTATTTATGGATTTCACTAGAGGCAGTACTTCTCAGAGTATGTTCCAGATGTTAGATGTTTACTGCTATTCACAAACACATTTTCTTTTAGCTGCTATTTCCCTGATATACACAGATTTTTGCTTTCAATAGTTCTATGTTATTATGTGTTAGGTGTTTCCTTGAAATAGGAGGAAAAAAGCACAGAAAATGTCTTTTAACAGAAAGCCTAACCATAATTAATAATTATATATAATTCTAATTATTGTGATTACTGATTAAAAGGCTTTTTCTGTCACTTCCCCCAACCCCACTTTTTAATCCACCCTCCGTTTTTTGTTTGTTTGTTTGTTTTCTACTGAATTGATCAAGTATTCTTGACCTGAACCCTCCTTTAACCCCTCACAAACTGGTATGGAAGTCAAATCTCTGTTTTTATGCAGTGATATTCAAAATTTTAACATGTACATGTGACTTAAGATCTAAAATGAAACTCTCCGTTTCCTCTAGAACAATGGAGGATGTCTGAACTCTCCCCTCTATTTTCTGTGATATCAAGGAACATTTTACTTATTTTTAATCATCTCCTCCAAAATGTCAACATTTTAATTAAAGGTTTTAAAAATCAATGCTTATCTAAACCTAAGACTGTTGTCAAATGCCTCTACTTACCCTTGCTTCACACACTGCCTGTATTAATCCCATATTTAGCTCATTCACTGAGAACTAGCTAGCAATAATCTCTCATCATTTTACTTGTCAGTTAACTTTATTTCTATCAAAAGATAATTTAGTTGGGTATAGAAATCCAGGTTGTTAATCACTTGTACTATGAAGATATGCTTCCCTATCTTTAGGTGTGTACTTATTGCTGGTTAAGAAGTCTACCAATTATCATTTTTTATAATCTTTTCCATTTCTGCATTTGATTTGTTTGGGATTAATTTAGCTTTTTAATCGGAACACACTTGTCTCTTCAATTCTGGAAACTTCTGTCATTATCCTTACTTTTTCCTTATCTTTACTCTCTCTGGAAATTTTACATTTGTGTTAGCCTATGCAAATGTATCCTCTTTCATTCAAAAGGAAGAAGACTCTCTCTACACTACATTCTAGGTATTTATATTTATCTCTCAGTCATCAGTTCTCACTTCAGCTACATTTGAATTTTAAGTTCACTGACTATACAGAAATTCTTCCTTGGCTTTTGGTAAAAATTGCCTTCCCCCCTCATGTTTTCTTTACTCCTTCTATGTCTTTGGTCATTTTTAACTTTACAGTCTGTCTGTTACATTATCAGTAGCACTTCTATTATCTGTATTTCTTGGAGAGCTAATTCTTCCATTATCACTGGCTGATTCTTTCAGGCAGTGGGCCTCCCTAGCGGCTCAGCTGTTAAAGAATCCGCCTGCAGTGCAGGAGACCTGAGTTTGATCCCTGGGTTGGGAAGATCCCCTGGAGAAGGGAAGGCTACCCACTCAGTATTCTGCCCTGGAGAATTCCATGGACTATATATTCCATGGGTCACAGAGTAGGACATGACTGAGTGACTTTCACTTTTCAGGTGGTAGCTTTTTCTAGAGATTTGTCATTTTCCATTGTGGATTGTCTTGAAGGGATGTTGATTTTGCTGTATAGTCCTATGTACGCTCAGCGTGTCTATCACCATAATGCAGTTTTGCCCTTGTTTAATCTAGAGGTTTCAACAGCCCCAAATTTGTTATATTCTTTTATCTGCTTGAAATTTTTATATGATAAAATTTTGGACCCATACACCAGCATGGTGCATGCTGAGTTGCAATTTCTCACAAATGACTTCCCTTTCTATTAATAGTTAATGTACTAGAACACTTTTGAATTACCACAGCTTTTAGTTCAGTGACTAATTTCCCTCTTGGTTCCTGGAACCACAGGATTTCTCTTTACTTCCTTCCACTTAAGTCTGGATACACATGTAAATATTTTGTAAAAGAACAATTTATATAGTAAGAATAATTTATATAGTTTTTGCAGTAGGTTCAAGACTGCCCCTTTAAAACTTGTTTTGTTACTTGAAGTAAGTTGGTTTATTTACTACAGCTCTTTTCCTGACTTTTTATATGCTGATATGTATTATGAATCTCTAAGGAGTAAAGTAGGTGTTATTCAAACTTATGCAAACAAAGAATTTTCTTTTCTTTTTTAGAAATATTTTAAAAGTCAGCATAACTAATAGTGGTTTGTGGAAAACAATTTAGGAAATGTTGACCAAGAATGCTGTGTGGATCACAACAAACTGTGGAAAAATCTTAAAGAGATGGGAATACCAGACCACCTGACCTGCCTCCTGAGAAATCTGTATGCAGATCAAGAAGCAAGTTAGAACTGGACATGGAACAACAGGCTGGTTACAAATCAAGAAAGTAGTATGTCAAGACTGTATACTGTCACCTGCTTGTTTAACTTATATGCAGAGTATATCAAGAGAAACGCTGGGCTGGATGAGATATAAGCTGGAATCAAGATTGCCGGGAGAAGTATCAGTAACCTCAGATACGCAGATGACACCACCCTCATGGCAGAAAGGGAAGAACTAAAGAGCCTCTTGATGAAAGTGAAAGAGGAGAGTGAAAAAGTTGGCTTAAAGCTCAACATTCAGAAAACTAAGATCATGGGATCCAGTTCCATCACTTCATGGCAAATAGATGGGGAAACAATGGAAACAATGACAGACTTAATTGTTTTGGGTTCCAAAATCATTGCAGATGGTGACTACAGCCATGAAATTAAAAGACGCTTGCTCCTTGGAAGGAAAGTTATGACCAACCTAGACAGCATATTAAAAAGCAGAAACATTACTTTGTCAACAGAGGCTCATCTAGTCAAGGCTATGGTTTTTCCTGTAGTCATGTATGGATGGACTATAAGGAAAGCTGAGCGCAGAAGAATTGATGTTTTTGAACTGTGGAGCTGGGGAAGACTCTTGAGAGTCCTTTGGACTGCAAGGAGATCCAACCAGTCCATACTAAAGGAAATCATTATTCACTGGAATATTCATTGGAAGGACTGATGCTGGAGCTGAAACTCCCAATACTTTGGCCACCTGATGCAAAGAACTGACTCATTTGTAAAGACCCTGATGCTGGGAAAGTTTGAAGGTGGAAGGAGAAAGGGATGACAGAGGATGAGATGGTCGGATGGCATCACCGACTTGATGGACATGAGTTTGAATCAGCTCTGGGAGTTGGTGATGGACAGGGAAGCCTGGCAGGCTGTAGTCCACGGGGTCACAAAGATTCAGACATGACTGAGCGACTGAACTGAACTAGCAAGAATAATATAACTGTAGGAGATCTGCCTATGACTGTAATAGCAAGCTTAGTAAACTATAAAACATGAACTATTCCACAAATTTTAGTCATTTAATTACTATTAAGCATCATGGTAAATCTATGACATCACTACTGCAAGTACTACTACATCTTAAAGGCAGGCAGCATCAATGAAATATATTTTTATTTAAATATATGACATGGTTTTCCAATTAACTCACATTTATCACTTTAATTTATATTGTATATCAATGTTTATATTACTCATTCTTCTTTTGATCACCAATTGAAACAATATCTGAGTACTCTGCAACTTTCTAATGTTCACTTCTCTCATCTTAAATATTTATTTAATAAGAAGTAGTATCTAATGAAATATCAATATTAATGTGCTTTTTTATTTGAAAAGCCCATTCATATTTGATTTTCATAATTATGAGGCAAGTAGTACAATAACAGTTTCACAGTAAATTAAGAAAGGAAGTGAGGAGCAGAAAACTCAAGTAATTTGCCACAAAGTTACATGAATTGTGAAAAATGGTCAGGGTAGACTCATCCAATTTGTAGCCTAATGCCCTACCCTCAAAAATCAATGCTTTGGATCCAGGCAGTCAAATATGATTCAAAAATGGGCAGCCAGAGAAATATAACCTTTTAAGTCTCAAGGATTTATATCTTACCATTCCCTTCTCTTTGCCTGTGCCAACACCAAGCAAAGCAAAATTTTTTAACATTTCACAGCCTATGGCTCCACATCCTACCTGTGAAGAAAAAATGTATCAGATTAAATAATATTAAAACTTCTACTTACTAAAGAGCAATTTCATCTTAATTTTCTTCAAATGCTGTTATAATAACATACTTTTAAAAATAATGTGAATATTAAAAATAATTTTTAAATTATTTTATTTTAAAATATTTAATGGTTCATGGTATCATGAATGTCTCAGCTAAGGAAAAAAATGTATAAATCATAGAAGGAAAAGCATAGTATTTACAATTCTTTTAAACATAAGACATTTTAATATTCCAAACAAAAGCCAAAGATTGAACTCATTTTTTTATATAAGATGGAAATAGCCAGCATAAAAGAGTGTAACATTCTAATTAAAAAGATTACTTGTTTGCAGAGAATTTTCTAAATTCATTTGATGAATATAACTATTCTAAGACTTTTAAATAAAAACTAACGATAGTTCTACATGTAAGTAAAGGCTCAGCAATAAGTGATTTTCAAAATGTTACTTAAAAAAGGAATATTAAAAATCAGCAGTATTTTTAGGACCGATTATAATAGTTATGGCAGGAGAAGAAGTGTTATGCTACTGAGGAACTTCCCTGCCCAATGCACTAAGACACTTAAGAAAGATCTACCTACATATTCTTACATTTGACAAGAAAAAACAGAGAACCTCCAACCCCCCACAATTTGTAATGTATTTCTAGAAAATCATTTAATGTTTAAAACTATTATATTTTAATTTTACATGTATTAATTCTTTCGGTGATGGGTTGGCAAACTCTTTCTATAAAGGGCCAGACGGTGAATGTTTTCAGCTTTGTAGCCCATGTGGTCTTTGTCACAATGACACAGCTGCCACTATTAAAGTATAAAAGCCATAGGCAATATAGGAATACATGGACTTAGCTGTGTTCTCATGAGACTTTATAAAAACAGGCAGTAGGATGGATTTGGCCTGCAAGCCACAGTTTATAAATTCCTGTTTTACACATTTCCTGAGTATCTTCTGTATTATTTAGAAATGGTACTCCTTTAACAAATTAATTTGAAGCACAATAGCAGTTTGACTGTACTATTTATTCTCATCATTATTCCCACTTACTAAAAAGATATTCAAATTTTGTAGCTTCTGACATAAAGTGTCTCCAATGCAGGCTCGTAAGGCATCATATCTATCTCCTCTGGAGAAAACAACACAAACCAAGAAAACAGAAAGGCATAAAAAAATTAAGATTAGTTTCATTACTGCTGGTACCAATTTAATATTTTACTTTAAGTAGAATACTCTTCTTCCATACTAACAGATAATTAATTTTATTTGAAGAAGGAAAAAACCTCATAAAGAAATCAGGTTTTTCTTTTTTCATTTGACTAATATAAATCCAAATGACTTGAACGAAGGTAACTTTAGTTTATCTAGAAAAACATTTTTAAGGCAGGGATTTTACAAAGGTTCATAGAGAAGACTATGAATGGGCTTTGAAGTTGTTAACTCACTTAAATTGAAAGCAGAACTTTGGGATACATGTATTTTTTGGAGAAAGAATTTAAAAGCTTTGATCAGATTCTCAGAGATCTGTGACCCAAATAAGTGAAGACTGACTGAAATAAATAAAAAATGCAGGTATCAACTGTTTTCATCTAAAATCAGAATGGTGTTTTGAAACTTAACCACTCTCATGATACACAATTTAAAACTTCATATTCAATATTAATAAAATGTCTAAGAGATACTGCATTATTATGACACAACTTATACATGCAGAGGAGAAAAGACTGCAGAAGTGAGTGAATTAGGAGAAAATACACCTAAAACAAATCCATGTTTATACAAAAATTCTTTAATTTTGGTGCTGCTTATAAATATACAACTAAGGAAAAAGTAAGAAAATGTCATTATTACCGTGGTAGAAATTCTTCTCGTTCAGGTTTGTTGAGGGATTCGACAAGATCTGCTGCTTCAATGTATAACTTAAAGTAGAATATAAAAACACAGCTTACTATGTAGAAAACTAAACTGCTAGAAAAAGTAATTCTCTTCTGTAGTATGGTTAAATCTGGAGGAATTATAAAAAGATAATATTTGATTCAGGTCATTTTAGCCATCTTACAGATGATATATCTTAATCTTAAACAAAAGGAAATTTCACCTCCAAGTCTATTTTCTATAACTACATAAAAATTCAGGAAGCAACATTCAATTTCAACTACATTTGAATAAATAATTTGATTACTTTGATAGGAAAGTACCTATCCTGTATTATTTTCAAACTCGTGTATACTGTATGTCGCTTATAATTACTACATATACTAAGAGGAAGTGGTCTATGGAGCCACAATCTCAGCATCTAAAATAACATCAAACAGAATTAGTTTAAGTTAATAAAAAAATCACTCAATCTCACTCCAATTTTCATTTTAAGTAACTTATATGGCTAAATTTGAACATGATCATGAACACTATAAATAAATGATAATTTATTTAAAGATAGACTACATTAATAACACAATTTACATTCCCTATGCTGTTAACAAAATTATACTTAAACCACTCTTACCACTGAATTTGTACTGTGTTAAACCAAATAATTCACCAGCATAATAGCATTACTTAATAGCATTTGTCAAATTTAAATTATAAATTTACAAATTTTAATTATTGAAACTAAATTTAAAACTTTTAAAAACAATATATTCAAAGTTTTTCAAAAACTAAAGGGCTTGAAGAGTGTCCATTGATATACTACTGCCAATTATTCTTTCTGGTAACAGAAACCATGGGTTTTCCATCTTGTGATGCTTTTACCCTATACAGTTCTCAAACTTTTATCATTCGTATGTTTTCTACCTTTAGAAATTTATACTTAGATGCTAGGGAATCTGAAGATTCATGATGCCAATGTAACTCCATGGAACAGTTCAAAAGTCCTGAAAGTGCATGACTGCTAAGCTAACAGTAGTGGAAACCAAATATAAGGATAGTAAATTTCCTCACTCTCACAAATGAGAGAAATATATCCTAGAATGCAACTCTGGGTTAAATCCCAATATCTTCAACAAATGATCTTGTCAGTTTCTATTATAGAATTAAATTTTGGTCGCACATCACACCCAATTCATGTGTGAAAAATAATTTTTGCTTTTATATTGATCAATACCATGTTATAACTTAGACATTCATTATATGGGTAACTAATTCAGCCTTAAGTATAAAAGATATTAAAATAGAGAACTAACCCACTGGCACAGAGGAGAAAACTTTCCTGTCACAGCTTTCAGTACTTCTTGGCTAGCAACACCTCCTACTGCCGCAGCAAGTGGGGGTAAGCAGCCTTGGGCAGTCCAAGAAAGCCAGTGCACGACGTCATGATTTACTTCAGGCTGAAACACAAGCCACAGAAGAAAACGATCTTTATAGTATCTGTACGGTACACTCAAAACTGCAATGACTTGATGTGAAAAAATTATAGTTTGACTTTTCAAAGAGCTATTCAATTCCCCAAATAGTTTTAAATCCTAAAAAAAGTCCCAATCTCATAACAAAAGATCCAACTGCATGTCAGTTAACTTAAGCAGTATTTTTCCTGACCAGTACCCATGCATTTTTGCTTTTTGACTCTCCATGTTACACTAGGGAACAACTTAGAATTAACTAGATTATCAACCATTTGTAGTTCTTGTTAGAGAACAGTTCTGTGATGTTAATAAGCCAGAATTTTTAAAGACACATTTTAATGAAAAACATGGTAAAACCTTGAACCAGATAAATAAAAATAAAATGATCCAAGGATAAGAAAGGATAAGGAGCTATCATTTTGCATTAAGTGGTAAATAAAAAGTAAAACAGTAAAAAATGAGGTGATGTATTGTTAGAAAAGGCGGTTTACATAAGCAACTAAGCCCGTGTATCACAACTATTAAGCCTGTACTCTAGAGAGCCTGGGAGCTGCAACTACTGAACCCACGTGTTACAGCTACTAAAGCCTGTGTGCCCTAGACAGTCCGTGCTCTACAACCAGAGAAGCCACAAAGATGAGAAGCCTGCATACTGCAACCACAGAGTAGCCCCCGCTTGCTTTAACTAGAGAAAAACCCACACAGCAAAGAAGACCCAGCACAGTCAAAAATGAATAAACAGAATTCTAAAAAACAAAAATCTTAAAAGAAAAGGCAGTTTAGAAAAAACATCAAGAGAGTAATAGCACTTTTACATACTAATATAAGGGCCACTCATCACAAAGTTCTCATTATCATATTGAAAGATGATGTTTTTCAAAATATAATTTATTAGTATTTTTAAGGAAAAAATGGAGAACTGGATTTTGGAGCTATTGTTTTAGCACAATTTCTTATTTGTCACAAAGATCTCTTCATGAGCTCTGGCTTCTCTTTCTCTTCCTGTTTTTTCAATATCAGTAACTGTAATCTTAATTTAAGATTCAAGTAGGGATCAATTAATCTCTTGAAATTCTATGTGAAATAACAGTATTTGTGTAGTTAGGGGGGAATACTCCAAAATCACTGCAGATGGTGATTGCAGCCATGAAATTAAAAGTCACTTACTCCTTGGAAGGAAAGTTATGACCAACCTAGATAGCATATTAAAAAGCAGGGACATTACTTTGCTAACAAAGGTCTGTCTGGTCAAGGCTATGGTTTTTCCAGTGGTCATGTATGGATGTGAGAGTTGGACTGTGAAGAAAGCTGAGTGCCGAAGAATTGATGCTTTTGAACTGTGGTGTTGGAGAAGACTCTTGAGAGTCCTTTGGACTGCAAGGAGATCCAACCAGTCCATCCGAAAGGAGATAAGTCCTGAGTGTTCATTGGAAGGACTGACACTGAAGCTGAAACTCCAATACTTTGGCCACCTCACGTGAAGAGTTGACTCACTGGGAAAGACCCTGATGCTGGGAGGGACTGGGGGCAGGAGGAAAAGGGGACGACAGAGGATGAGATGGCTGGATGGAATCACCGACTCAATGGATATGAGTTTGAGTAAATTCCGGGAGTTGGTGATGGACAAGGAGGCCTGGCGTGCTGCCTTTCATGGGGTCACAAAGAGTCGTGTCCACAAAGAGTGGGGACACGACTGAGCGACTGAACTGAACTGAACTGTTAGTTCTAAGCTCATTCTGAGAAATGCTTCCCTGATGGTTCAGATCTGCAGATGCAGTAGACCTGGGTTCGATCCCAGTAGGGAAGATCCCCTGGAGAAGTGAATGGCCACCCACTCCATTATTATTGCCTGGAGAATCCATGGACAGAGAAATCAGACAGGCTACATTCCACAGGGTTGCAGAGTTGGACATGAAAGAGTGACTAACACTTTCACTTGCTTTCTGAGAAATGCACCAGAGAGCACATGTGATTTAAGTCTTATTTTAAAGCTACCGTAATCAAGAAAGGATGGTACTAGTAGAAAGACAGAAACAACCAATGGAAGACAATATTGAGTTCAGAAAGAGCCATACACATATGTGGTCTATGAATTTCTGACAAAGAAGCCATAAAAACAATGAAGAAAAAAACTGTCTTTTCAATAAATAGGCTAGAATTACTGGATATTCTGATACAAAAAAATTAACTTAGTTCTATGCCTGACAAGGTAGAAAAAGATTAATTCTTAAATGTACAAAACTGTACACAATGAATTCAAAATGTATAATGATGTATATGATCTACACTGTGCAAGGTATATAAATATAAACTCACAACACAATAAATCATCTAGAAGAAAATAAAGGAGAAAAGCTTTGTGATTTTGGCTTAAAAAAGGCACAAACCATAAAAAAGAAAAAACTGATGAATTAAACTTTATCAAAATAAAAAACTTCTGCTCTATGAAAGACACTGTAATAACATGAAAAGACAACCCACAGACTGGAAGAGAATATCTATAAAACATGTATCTGATAAAAAACTGATTTCTATATATAAAGAACTTACTTAATCAATAAGAAGAAAACAATCTAATTAAAATTTTTATGTTATACAATTTTTGATACCCAAACTGAATATTCACCTTCTCTTCCAAGGTTTCACTTATAGATGCTGTTAGTTTCAACAACTCTTCTGAATCTTGTTGGCATCTAGAATTCAAAATAAGGAACCTTAATGTCAATTTTCTCAACAGCTAATTGAAATTTAAGAAACATGTTTAAAAAACTGGAATTTTGCCAACCATGTAACACGAAGTGTTTACTGACTTTAAAGACAGCTGGTTTATAAATACATTCTTTCAAAATCATGCTCACTTAAGGATAGTTTATAAGTAAGAATTTAGTTTTAAATGTACAAAGCAAAAACTTTTTGCAATAATACATAGAAGGTAAAAAATTATGTAATGGATTTATAATTTAATAGTTCTCAGATATTTTTAAGTTATAGCTTTTGAAGACTTCAAAATAGGAAAAATTTTATTTAGTATAACTCCATTTTTATAAATTGATCTTTCCACTTCTATGAGAAAAATAGGTTGGTTCAAAAGTGTTTACACAATTTGGTGTATCTAGTAGTATTACAATAAGAAAAAAGGTTGTTTCAAAGAAAAAACATTACCCAATATTTGGCTTGCGACTATAGGTCTCCTGAAACTGGTCCAAGGCAAGCATGGCAGAGTGAATCTCTAAAGGTGCCTATTAATAACATTAAAAATTGGTCAGTATTTAAAATTGAGTGTATAATATGTGTCAGGCACTGTGCTAACGCTTTTAAGACATTACTTAACTTAATCAGTAAACAAATTAGCTTATTACTGTCATCTTTATTTAACAGATGAGGAAGCTGAGGCTTGAGAAGTGAAAGGACTTGACTTCAAGCTATATTTAAGTAACAGATCCAAGTTTTAATCCCAGGCTGTATGACTAGTTTTCATTAGGTTATCCGTATGAAACAAAGTAGAATCAACTAAACAAAGGAAAGAAAATGTTGGTACGAGAATTCTTTTTTTCTTTCCTTATCAATATTTATAAATTCGGAAACTGTTATTATAATTCTTTACTTATCAGAAATACATTCACAGGTACAAAATTGATCCAATGTTTTCAAAAAGCAGAATAAACGCTTACAAGATTTTTAGAGAAAAAATATGTATTATATAAAACTCTACATGGTTCAGAAAATCTCTTAATAAGATTACCTTTGCATAAATTAATGAAACCACCTTTTAACTATCAAACCTGGCATATCATAAAAGAAAACCTTTTCCATATTATTCAAACATTTCCATTACATAAAATCCCATTTTTAATCCAGGAGTCAGCTTGCTACATGAATACAACCTTTATTTTTAAAGAATCTAATGGTCTGACATATACACACAGATACCACAAATATATATATAGTTGCTCTCTCTACATACAGTCACACTATATAGTTGCACTATATATATTTATATATACATATATATAGTTGGGTCTGTTTTAAATTTATAATTGCTTATCATTCCCAACCCCCACTGCACTGCCTCTCTCAAACAAACAGTGTTTGTTTACCTCAGGTTTGCTAAAATCCGCAATAAGGTACTTTGGATGTTTTAGTTGCACCTCTAATGATTCCTAATAGAAAAAAACAAAACAAAACAATAGAAAAAAATCCATTGTTACTTCAGAGCAAGCAAGTGACTATTTGATAAATGACAGAGCACTAAAAGCAATGACTCCTAAAAGGTCTGAGATAAGTAAGGTTGGGCTAACACGTTTTAACTGAAATGTAAAGTAGCTACCATTCCCTGGTTACTCCTTTTCTTATTATCTCACTTTATATTTTTAATATTAAATGCAACTGGACAACCTGCTCCACATAATAAATTTGGGGAAACTTAAACATGTGTGTGTGTACTCAAAAAAATCTATTATCTTAATCAAAGAGCTACCGTATTTTTTCTGATACCAAGTTTTAGGACTTGTTATACCTGACAAGAATTGAATAAATACCCAGCTAAAATTTTTTGTGTGGAGCAAAGAACACAGGGAGGCCAAAAAACTCAACAAACAAGACAATAAACCACCTCCTCTGAAAAAAAATCCACTAAACCCAATCTTAAATTTATTGAGGCATACGTTGAAGCTTAATTAAAAACTAGGGACAATAGCAAGAGGAAGCAATGCTGGAGCAGATTTGACAAGAGGCAGTATTTTAATCTGTTTTTTTGCTTTAACTCTGGGCTAAACAAAACCTTGTGGAGGACTTCAGTTAATAATTGTTCTGGAAAAGAAGTTAGTCAAGTCAAAACCTTGAGAACTTCAAGAAAAAAGATATATTAGATTACTTATGAGAAATGGTCTAAGGATTTAAGCAGCAAGAGGCTCCTTAATTCCCTGATAAAAGCAGCCTCTACATTCTCTTTAAACAGATACATACATTTCCTTCCAGTGCCAATTTATAGGAATTATTTAACATATCAAACATACAACTTCTTGAAATCCAAAAAAATTAAAATCTAAAAAACCCTGAAGTAACAAATATGATAAAGAAATATTCCCTTTGCTTTAAAAATGTAACTGAATAATAAAATAAAACACATACTAAATCAATGCCTGTTAAATTTTTCAAATACATATTAGTTACATCTTCTGTCTTAGGAAGTAATTATAAGAAGTATGATCAACTCTCTAAATTTTTTTGGTTAAAGTCAGTTTATTTCCATTGATTTCATTTTCCTCAAAGTGGGTACAAATTAAAAAACAAAATCTCTTCAACGAGTAATTTTATTGTTTTTCTCTCTCCTGCCACTCTTCTGTAAAGAAATATATTTAAGAAAAAAAAAATACTTACAAAGGAGAATGTTTTAGTAGTCTTAACTTGAATAGCTATGCCTCCATGTAAATAAGGTTCCAGTTCTGTAGTATCACCAATGCTAAAAGAAAATGGTGATACCACTAAAAGAAGGGAAAAAAGAAAACCATTATCTACTGATATGAGTATTTAATTTGAAAGTTTATGATAAAAAAGATGTTAATTTTTCCTAATTTACAAAATTAAGAAAATTTCAGTGTAAATTTTTTCTATTTCGGGGGGTGGGTGGGTAGGTGGAAGTTTGGAAGCTAGACAGATTATCTTTCCAATACAAACATAAGGACTTACACGCAAAAACACCCAAGAAAACTTGGAAGGAAAAAAGGGAATGAGAGGTGCTTATTATTAGATATTAAAATACTTCATGAAGCTTCAATAATTAATATACTGGTATTATATACATAGTTGATAATAATACAACTGTGATACTGGCTTATGAGTAGAAAGGCAGACAGATTTATTATTCAGTAACAGACTCGCAAAAGATACAATTAAGGTGGTACCACAAACCAGTAAAGAAAAGATCACTCAAAAATTTTTTGAGAAAAAAGTCAGGTGGGGAAGTACTCCAAATGGATAGAAGTTTTAAATGTCAAAAAAATTATTAGATATGAGCATGGAATAAAAATTTCTTTAAAACTTTGCACTAAGGAAGGCATTTCTAATTATGACTCAAAAGAATCCAAGAAAAAATGGAAAACTTTGACATCATATACACACAGTAAAAGCCATCACAAACAAAGTCAAATGCCACATTACAAAAAAATTTTTGTGATTTATTAAAAAAAAAAAAAACCAACCCTTAGCAAATATGCCCCATATATGAGGAATTTGGGGGAAAATGATCAATAATACTCATTAAGAAAATACTCATTTAATACTCATTTTAAGAAAATGGGTAAAGGATAGATGACTCACATTAAAGGAAAATGAAACAGCTTTAATACTTAAGAAAAGATACTTAATCTCATTCATAATATATAAAATGCAAATCAAAATTATACTATACCATATTCAAGAGACCATGAAATACTACGAGACATCAAGGGGAGAGGAGGAGACTATTCTACATTAATGATGCAAAAAGACCATCGACATGTTTAGTTTAATGGAAACACAAAGGGTTTCTATTCATAAGATGCTACCTTGCATGTAAAAACGCCTAAGAAAAGCCTGGAAGGGCATCCAATAAACTAAGAATGAACAGCTAAGAATGAAAGGTAGCCAAAGGTGGGCAGTAAAGTTTTCATTGTAAACATTTGCCTTCTATTTTTTTTGAATGATTTGCTTATTCAAAAAATTCAATTAAATAAACAAGCCTTATATAACAACTACACAGAAAAGACCAGAAGAGCAAACACTCAACTTAGTTGCCGTTAATTCTGGAGTAGAGGGGAGAGGTCTGAAACAGTACTCATTTTCAACTCTATTTAAACATATATACACATATATCAAGAATCAGTTCAGTTCAGTCGCTCAGTCGTGTCCAACTCTTTGTGACCCCATGAACCGCAGCACGCCAGGCCTCCCTGTCCATCACCAACTCCCAGAATTTACCCAAATCCATGTCCATTGAGTTGGTGATGCCATCCAACCATCTCATCCTCTGTCGTCCCCTTCTCCTCCTTCCTTCAATCTTTCCCAGCATCAGGGTCTTTTCAAACGAGTCAGTTCTTTGCATCAGGTGGCCAAAGTATTGGAGTTTCAGCTTCAACATCAGTCCTTCCAGTGAACACCCAGGACTGATCTTTTGGATGGACTGGTTGGATCTGCTTGCAGTCCAAGGGACTCTCAAGAGTCTTCTCCAACATCACAGTTCAAAAGCATCAATTCTTCGGTGCTCAGCTTTCTTTATAGTCCAACTGTCACATCCATACACGACTACTGGAAAAACCATAGCCTCAACTAGACGGACCATTGTTGGCAAAGTAATGTCTCTGCTTTTTAAAATACTGTCTAGGTTGGTCATAACTTTCCTTCCAAGGAGTAAGCGTGTTTTAATTTCATGGCTGCAGTCACCATCTGCAGTGATTTTGGAGCCCAGAAAAATAAAAATCAGCCACTGTTTCCACTGTTTTCTCATCTATTTGCCATGAAGTGATGGGATCAAATTCCATGATCTTAGTTTTCTGAATGTTGAGCTTTAAGCCAACTTTTCCACTCTCCTCTTTCACTTTCATCAAGAGGCTTTTTAGTTCTTCACTTTCTGCCATAAGGGTGGTATCATCTGCATATCTGAGGTTATTGATATTTCTCCCGGCAGTCTTGATTCCAGCTTGTGCTTCATCCACCCAGCATTTCTCATGGGGAACTCTGCATGTAAGTTATATATGCAAGGTGACAATATACAGCCTTGACATACTCCTTTTCCTATTTGGAACCAGTCTGTTGTTCCGTGTCCAGTTCTAACTGTTGCTTCCTGACCTGCATACAGGTTTCTCAAGAGGCAGGTCAGGTGCTCTGGCATTCCCATCTCTTGAAGAATTTTCCACAGTTTATTGTGATCCACACAGTCAAAGGCTTTGGTATAGTCAATAAAGCAGAAGTAGCTGTTTTTCTGTAACTCTCTTGCTTTTTCGATGATCCAGCAGATGTTGGCAATTTATATCAAGAATAAGCATATACTATTTTATTCATTTAAAAATGGTTTTCAAGTAACAGGAAAATTACTTTAAAGCAGTAAAGTATCAATTAATAAATATCAGGGGACAAAAAGACTTATCAATTGCTACTCTACTTAAATATTCTTTCTCTGCCTAAAGAATTTTTCATGCAAAATGTGGGTTTTCTTTATTTTCATTTCATGATATCCAGTGGCTTCTCCTTTCACAAATATAGCCCCAAGATTTGGATCCATCATGAGAGTCCACCACTGAATGGACCCCAAGACAAAAAAGGATACTCTTAAATAAATGAGTCAATTTATACAAAAATAGACGCAAAATTTGTAATATCAATGATCTGAACCTGTATTTTACATATTTAGATACAGTCTGGGAAACAAAATACAACAGATTTATTACCAAAGCTTCTTAAAAATAGATCCAAAGTTGTTTTGCTATAAAGAGCTCTTAACAGGCACTGATTTTTTCTCTCTCCTAAGGATCCATTTTTGTAGTCATTAAAAGAAAAAAAAGGTAATCAGTTTACTACTAGTCTATAAACTAATCACATAATTACATGTTCAGATGCCCTAAAGATAAAACTGAGTCACTCCCAGCTGAACAGGTGTAAAAATGCTCTCTGTGAGTTAAACATTGTACAGCAATGTCTTTAACTCTTTTACACATGGCTGGAGGAAAATCATAAACTATAAAGACTAATGATGCCATAAATTTATTCTCTTCATTTCAAATGGCCTTAAATGAAACCTGGTAACTTTTCAATTTTTAAAACTGTTTACTCTCTTCAGATCTCTGGCCTTGGCACCTTATCTCTCCTCTGGGTCATGATTTCACCTCAATCTACTAACAAAACAGACTCCTTCAATTTCCTGCTAGTAAGTCCACGAATCTGCCTGCAGTTAACATTCATTCATCCCTTTTTTCCAAGTCACTGAGCAAAAAAGTATCTTCACATGAATACTTCACTGTCACCTCACCTAAACAGCCTAGACTGTACTCTTCTTCCCTCCAAAATTTGCTCTTTTTTTGTACTCCCTAATGTGTGAATAAATAAGATGTCAGAATCTTCACTTATCTACCATGAGATAACAGTATGTCTGCTGCTATCTCAACTCCCACTGTAGAGCTGCTGTATCTTTAAGTTTCTTGAATTCTGTCTTGTTTCTTACTGTTTGCTTCTGCACAGAATACTCTTATCACCGTCTTCCTAAGCCAATGCAACCAGTTATAATCAAGATACCCCAACCCTACTGCTGCTCCACCAAAACTGAGCAGGGATACTGGCTAAGGTTAGAGTTCCCAGAATGCCTTTTCTCTATAACATCACTGCCTAATGTTAGTATCTCCTTACTTTGCGTGGATCACAATAAACTGTGGAAAATTCTTAAAGAGATGGGAATATAAGACTACTTAACCTGCCTCCTGAGAAATCTCTATGCAGGTCAAGAAGCAATAGTTAGAACTGGACATGGAACAACAGACTGGTTACAAATTGGGAAAGGAGTACATCAAGGCTGTATGTCATCACCCTGCTTATTTAACTTATATGCAGACTACATCGTGTGAAATGCTGGGTTGGATGAAGCACAAGCTGGAATCAAGATTGCTGGGAGAAATATAAATAATCTCAGATATGCAGATGACACCACCCTTATGGCAGAGAGTGAAAAGGAATTAAAGAGCTTCTTGATGACAGTAAAAGAGGAAGGAAAAAAAGCTGGCTTAAAACTCAACATTCCCTAAATGTCCACTGGCAGACGAATGGATAACAAAGTTGTGGTATACATACACAATGAAATACTACACAGCCATAAAAAGGAATGCATCTGAGTCAGTTCTAATGAGGTGGATGAAACTGGAGCCTATTATACAGAGTGAAGTAAGTCAGGAAGAGAAACACAAATACTGTATGTTAACGCATATACATGGAATTTAGAAAGACAGTAGTAACAATCCTATATACAAGGCAGCAAACGAGACACAATTACAAAGAACAGACTTTCGGACTCTGTGGGAGAAGGCGAGGGTGGGAAGATTTGAGAGAAGAGCATTGAAACATGTATATTACCGTACATAAAATAGATGACCAGTGCAAGTTTGATGCATGAAGCAGGGTACTCAAAGCTGGTGCTCTGGGACAACCCAGAGGGATGGGGTGGGGGGTTTGGGATGAGGGGATACATGTGCACCTGTGGATGTCTACCCATGGCTGATTCATGTCGATGTATGGCAAAATCATCACAATATTGTAAACTAATTATCTTCCAATTAAAATGAATAATTTAAGAAAAATAACTCAACATTCAAAAAACTAAGATCATGGCATCCAGTCCCATTACTTCATGGCAAACAGATGGTGAAACAATGGAAACAGTGACAGACTTTGTTTTCTTGGGCTCCAAAATCACTGCAGATGGTGACTGCAGCCATGAAATTAAAAGATGCTTGCTCCTTGGAAGAAAAGTTATGACAGACCTAGACAGCATGCTAAAAAGCAGAGACATTACTTTGTGACAAAGGTCCATATAGTCAAAGCTAGGTTTTTTCCAGTAGTCATGTGTGCATGTGAGGGTTGGACTATAAAGAAAGCTGAACGCCAAAGAATTGAGGCTTTTGAACTGTCGTGTCGCACAAGACTCTAAAGAGTCCCTTGGACTGCAAGGAGATCAAACCAGTCAATCCAAAAGGAAATCAACCTTGAATATTCACTGGAAGAACTGACGCTGAAGCTCCAGTACTTTGCCACCTGATGTGAAGCACTGACTCATTAGAAAAGACCCTGATGCTGGGACAGATTGAAGGCAGGAGGAGAAGGGGTCGACAGAGGACCAGATGGTTGGATGGCATTACCGACTCAATGGACCTAAGTTTGCACAAGCTCAAGGAGATGATGAAGGACAGGAAAGCCTAGCGTGCTGCAGTTCATGGGGTTGCAAAGAGTCAGACACGACTGAGCGACTGAACAACAAGTTGGATTGAATGTCTTGAGGTGAAGAACTGGATCACCCCTTTTGAGTTGATGGTGTATTCTCAAAAAGTACAGCGTGTGGACTATAAACGCAATGAATAATGAATAAGTATAAACAAATTAATAAACATAAACTTACCAGTTATTTGTTGTGTGGATCCATTTAAGCCTGTCATTCCATTAATTTCTCGAAATGTTACGAACTGTCCTGTTTCAAGTTTGTGAGGATGATTTTCAAGGCAAGTGACAATGCCAGGATTAGCCTAGAAATAAGAGTAAAAACAAGTTCACAAAGTCCTTTTTTATACAAATTCCAAATCTCACATAAAAAGGACCATGTTATCATAAAATTCTCAAAACAACCAAAATTGCAAGCCATTCTTCTCCTTCCATTGTAAACACAAATATTTAAAGAACTGTCACAAAACAGTGACAACCATATCATTTTATTATGAATGTGTATGATTTCTATGTTGAGCAGAAATAGGTATCACAATCAGTTCAAATATTTCACAAATCCAAGGATTTCTGTGACTTACAAAACATACTCAAAGTGACTGAATTCAAGTTCTAAAGTCATTTATGAAAGACTCATCACTTCATGGCAAATAGAAGGGGGAAATGTAGAAGCAGTGACAGATTCTTCTTGGGCTCCAAAATCACTGTGAATTGGTGACTGCAGCCATGAAATTATAAGACACTGGTTTCTTAGAAGGAAAGCAGTGACAAACCTAGACAATATATTCAAAATCAAAGACATCACTTTGCTAGCAAAGGGCTGTACAGTCAAAACTATGGTCTCCCATGTGCAGATGTGCGAGTTGAACCACAGAGAAGGCTGAGCACCGAAGAATTGATATTTTCAAATTGTGGTGCTACAGAAGACTCTTGAGAGTTCCTTGGACACTGAGGAGATCAAACCAGTCAGTCATAAAGGAAATCAACCCTGAATACTCATCAGAAGGACTGATGCTGAAGCTCTGGTACTTTGGCTACTTGATACAAAAAGCCAACTCAATGGAAAAGATCCTGAGGCTAGGAAAGATTGAGGGCAGCAGAGGATGAGATGGTTGGACAGTATAACTGATTTAAAGGATGTGAACTTCAGCAAACTCTGGGTATTACTGAAGGACAGGGAGGCCTGGTGTGCTGCAGTCCATGCGGTCATGAGGAGCCAGACATGACTTACTTACTGAACAATAACAACAACATGAAAGACTGTGTACATAAAAGATGAGTCTAACTTTGAAAATCAAAGAAATATTAAGAATGAAGGATGGAAATTTAATGCTAGGAAAGTGGTATTAACAGTATAAAGCTGCAACACTTTAAATCAAAGAAATAGTACATAGCCCTGCATATCAGGTAAAAATAGAAGAAATTAGCTTATCTCATCTAAGAGGGTGCATGAGATACAGCAGACATCTGTAAATTTCCTAACAGCATATAATCCAACCATTGCTTAAATAACGTGATAATGATTTAATTTACATAAAACCTAATGGAATTATTATTGTCTCTTTCATAATTGTGTAGACTCTAAAAATTCTCTTGCTGTTTAATGATTTGAGAAATACAATTAAGACCACAAACATTAAAAAATAAAAAAGACCACAAACATGTAGAAAAAATTAATGTAATGTGGGTTTACTATTAATAACATCTCAAGAATAATAGAATTCATAAGGACCTTAAGAAGGAGAAATGACTTGCAGATAAGTTAAATGAAGACTATAGTATATTTTTCTGATTTTTTTATGGCTAACTTCCATATTTCCTGCACTGTTTAATAAAAGAAAATATCAGTGCAATACAAGATTCCTTGGAGCTTATTCTAACTCTATAATATTCTCAGGGACAAACTAACAATAACTAGAGAAGGTAAAAGGCTGAACAACAAACCATTCTGTAAACAAACGGACACAAAAAATGACTTTTTAATCAATTTGCCTTAAAAAGTGCTAAGAACGCCATCATTAACACTGGGTTTAAAAATAAAGTATAAAGACAGAAGCACAAATACTATTCAAAGTATATTTTCAGTCCATTGTACTTGGCTTCTTTTGAGCTTTAATGTAAACTGATTTTATAAAGAGTGCAAATAAAGTTAGTGATTTAGGCTAAAAGGAAACAGTAGTAAAAGTGGATCATAATATTTTCTCCAATTCTTTTAGGTAATAAAAAAATTAAGCTTGCATGACATTAAGAGAACACAGAAAATTCAGACCTTTTGATTTGATGGTTAATTAACTCTTAAGGTTTCTTCCTCCTCCAAATAATGTTTTAGAAATATGTCAAATTAGAAAAGCTTTTGTCTGTGATGACTTAAGTGTCCATCTTCCTGGAGTCAAGAGTGTTGGGCCAAGTGAATTATGGCACACGTAATTCATCTATGACCTGATACAATAAATTGTTCAGTAAACAGTGACTCACAATTAATGTCCCATAGGAACATGACATAGAACAAAATTAAAATTAATGACATCAGCAAATGCTGATGTACCAATTATTAAATGTTGGAAACCAGGATACTTTTTTAATATTCCAACTTCAATTTTAATCAAATAAAAAGGACTGTGTACTACAATATTTTGCTAATATTACCTTTTTAAAACATCAACTTAAAAATCAATCATAAACAATAATACACATATATAATCATACTTGTGTTATACTTGAAATGAAAATTTCTTTTGGTTCTTCTCCTGTTGTATCTAAAACTTCAAATTCATCACCAAAATCGCAAAACAACCGTGACCAAATGCCATGTACATCTGCACTGATGAACTGTGAAATGAAAAAACAAGTTCAAGATTAATACATTTATATAAAGAAAAAAAAAAACTCAACTATCTTTGGACCCCCTGGTGACAATTTTATTTATAATTAAGCATATTCTTTGAGATATAAAGTGATCACAAATATGATAAATCATTTGTAAACTGGTTTCAGAATCAAGAGTTCAGGTATTTAGGACTGGATATTGGTGTCACAAAACTAGAAGCAACATCAGCACATCATTGGACATTCTGTAATTTTTAAATAACAAAAACTCCTGCTTTATCCTAAAAATCAAGCACAGAATTTAAGAAAGAGATACCTTGGTTTAATGGTCTAGCAGTGAATTTTTGTTTTTCATTTTAGAAAAGCAGAATGGAGTATCCATTCACCAAAAGTGGTAGAGTTAGAGGAAAGCAAAAGAGAGCTAAAAGCTAAGACTGAGTCAGCAGAAAAGGGACTGAGGAACAGAGCACATCGGAGTCAGGAAAGGTAAAAATCAAATTCTTAAACACAGTCATAAATGTGTTCTTGAAAGTGATTTTTATTCTCTGTATCTATCTATCTATCTATATATACACCCACTCTCTGTTCTAAAAATATATAAAGAAATTGTTCTTGTGCTTAGTTATGTTTAGATACTGATAATGAAGAAAAATTCTTAATCTGTAACACACATGATACTGTATAAACTGATATTTTTCCAGGAAAAACTAGCCTATTCATATTTGGGCATAAGAATGTAGTTCATTAAAATGACTTATCTACTCCCTATCAAATAAAGTCGTAAAATGGTTAACAGATTACCTTCTACTTGATCATGCACTGCCTTTACTATTGAAATAGGTATTTACAGCATTCTTTATGAGACATAAAACAGAAGAAAGTTAGAAACTTTTTTTTTAAGTTTGCAAACTCAAGAACAATTTCTTTTTTTGCAAAACAACTTTAAAGTATGCATAAATGTATCAATCACACAAAGATTTTAGTTTATAAACTAGTATAATTACTTTATAAAACTTCTCTGTCCTGTTCAAAGTTTACTGACTACTGTATATCTTATTCATCTTAATAATTTATGAACTATGGAACAAATGTTCTATAAGGTATAAACATGCTATGTAAATACCAGTCCAAAAATTTTCAGCACATCTATCTGATACAGTGCCTATCTCAAAGGAACAAATAGCATCTTCCTTTTTCCAAAGGAATAAAGGACCCCAACAAAGGAAGTGCAGTTAGTAGTATGTATTCAATTGCAGGGGATGAATTATGATTTGCCCCATCTAGACCTCTTTCCAGTTTTCTGAGCGTCATCACTACTTATCTAATTATTTTGGACAAAAATCTCAGAGTCATTCTTGATCATTCTTTCCTTCACAACTCTCATTCATCCATGCTCAATCCATTAGCCTTTTATACAAAAGATACTTCAAATTCAACAACTTCTCACAATCTCTATTTTCATCTCTTTTGAAAAAGGCACCAGCATCTCTCATTTGGACTACTTACTGCATTAGCCCCTAACAGGTCTGGCCACCTATATTCTACTTTTACAATTCAACAGTTCTCTTTCTTTTTGGTCTCACGATCCCTTCATGTTCTTAAAAATTATTGACAATCCAATGAGTTTTTGTTTAGGTGGGTTCTGATAATCACTGTGTTAGAAAGAAAAGCCAACATAAACACACATTCCATCAGCTGTCAGAGCAATGATATCACCATCAAGTAGACTCTGGAAACTCTACTGCAACCCATAAGAGAATCAAAGTGAAAAAGGCAAATAACATTTCAATAATATTCTAAAAATGGTTTGACTTTGCAGACCTTGAGAAAGGGTTTCAGAGACCTTCAGTGTCCTTGGACCACACTTTGAAAATCAAAATTAAAAATATTACTCATGTAAAAGGTTTCTTATGCAATTCACTGAAAAGTTACAAATTCTAATAGTGAAAGTACATTTCCTTTGGTAAACTATGTGTCATTAAGTGATATTATCACCTTAATTGGAGGGCACTGAGAACGACAGAAGATATTGATCTTCTTCTGCAAGGAAAGTTTCATCTCCGTCAATACTACACACTGTTGAGAAGGATACAAGAAATTAAAGATTAGAAAATAAACAATTATTTTGGTAGTGCACAACTTCTAACTCAGAAGCATCCCAGTTTGCACTCTGCTAAAAATACATTGTTTTCTTTGTAAAAAATACTAACCTACTGTATTCCATTTTAAGGTTAACACCTTCAGAGATACAGAACAGCAAAAGTGAAAGTAATACACACTGCCATCTCTAGGTATCCGCGGGGGGATTGGTTCCAGAACCAAAACCTGTGGACATTCAAGTCCTTTACATAAAATGGCATAGTACATACAGGGAAAAACCTGCCCACGCTGAATTCAATTACCAGTACAGACTTCACGGTTAGAAGCAAACCTTAACATTCTCTATGGTATATATGCATCCCAAATGATTATAGATTTTGCTTTACCTGTTACTGCCATGGAGCTGCTAAGCTACTCATCAGAGTATAAATTAAATGCTAGTTTAAAAGGGTAACAATTAAATTTTAAAAAGGATGTATTAGTTGGCTTAGCTTTCTCTTACTCAGAGATTCAACAGATTTACAACACAACTTTTGTTTTACGACAGTGTTACTAGTGAAACAACCAAATTCTGTTATTTAAGATAGCAAACTATCATTTTCAATGCTTACTTTTTTATCATCACCCAGTGAGATAAGCAAAGAAAGTTTTATAATCAGATTTTATCATAACTGAAAAACTCATGAAAGGCCAAAATACTTTTATTACGGTCAACCATCTATCTAAAACGGCAAAAGCAGGTCAAATCTCGCCGTCTGGAGCTTTCCTTGATGCTGGTTCCAGGAAATGAATAACTCACTTTCACTACCAATACCTATCTGGGTGTGGATTTAGATTTATCTAGCTTAGAACACGATGAGCTCCCTACAGAGAGGTAATTCTCCATAGCTCTCCCACTGAGTATTGCCATAAATTCAAGGCTCTGGCCATTCTTTACGTGGGTTGTTTCTCAGGATTGCATTTGCCTGGTGCAAACTTGAGAAATGAGATAATGTCTCCCTCTGGGACAAAGAGCAAGCTTATTCACTGCTTGCTATAAAAAGGCAGGTTCCCCGAGCTCAATGTTCCTTTCTTCTAAAGGAACCCTCCACATGTGCAGGCATCCACTGAGCCCTCTGCACAGCACAGGGGAGATCTGGAGGAAGGCAGGAGGAAACAAGGCAAATGTCATGCTCACACTTACCAGCTCGGGAGTAATTAAGTCCTTAGTCTCTGACCTAGGAATCTCATGTTTTCTGCTAGCATCCATGAAACTGTAACAGGCTAACTTATTAGCTTGCAAATAAGGTAAAAGCAAATCTTATTAGACTCAGTCCATACTGAGTCTAACAGTACTTACTGAGCCTGGTCTGTGTTCCACCAATGCTGGAAAATTCCCAAGCATCGTTTACTTGAATAACCCTTTTTCTAGAAGTCCAACCGCATGAATTAGAGCTTTTTACTCAAGCTATCATTTTTTTAAATTTCTCTTTCATATATTCTTTCTGTGTGCTGTAGTCTCAAAAATATCCTCAGCTCTATCCTTCAGTCCATTAATTCTTATATGCACTGTTTAATCTACTCGTTAAATTTTAACTTTTAGGACTATTTTTTCCATTTCAAAAAGTTCTATTTGGTTATATCTGCCTAACTGCATTCACTGGTATGTTATTTTCTTTTTTTAAAATTTTTTTAATTTTTTTTTTTATTAGTTGGAGGCTAATTACTTTACAATATTGTAGTGGTTTTTGTCATTCATTGACATGAATTAGCCATGGATTTACATGTATTCCCCATCCCGATCCCCCCTCCCTGGTATGTTATTTTCATATTGTATTTTTAATCCCTTCTTATAAGATTTAGTTTGAACATTTTATAGTCCCCATCCAATAATTCTATTATCTGAAATTCTTGGAGGTTCAGCTCTATTGTTTGTTATATCCACTGACTCTTGATCATGCTGAACTTCTTCCTGTCTTACTATTTTGTATTATGAACACAGCCTCATAGGGGCTTTACATATTAGAATAAAGTGTGGCCTGGCTGAGGGTATATGACACTAGATCTTTGAATTTTGTTTCTTTCTGGCATTCCAGTGTATCACCAGCTTAGTACTATGTTTTAACGTTAAGTTCTCAGCTTGGGAAATTTAAGTTCATATCAAACTTATGTGAGGGTATGCCTATGGGTAAGAACTCCCAGAGAAGATCTTTTTTTTTTTTTTTTAAATCCAGAGCTCCAGAGAGCTCTGTGTGAATCACAACAAACCATGGAAATTCTTAAAGAGATGGAGCTTTGGACCATCTTCCCTGTCTTCTGAGAAACCTGTATGTCGGTCAAGAAGCAACCGTTTGAATTGGACATGGAACAACTGTCTGGTTCCAAGCCATGAAAGGTGTATGACAAGGCTGTATACTGTCACTTTCCTTATTTAACTTATAGGCAGAGTATGTCCTGTGCTCATGTGCTGAGTTGTGTTTGACTCCTTAATTAAGATCTTATGGACTGTAGCCTGTCAGGCTCCTCTGTCCATGGAATTTTCCAGGCAAAAATACCAGAGTGGGTTGTCATTTCCTACTCCAATGGGGATCTTCCTGACCCAGTGATCAAATCTGTATCTCTGGTGTCCTCTGCATTGCTAGGAGAATTCTTTACCACTACACCACTTGGGAAACCCATATGTAGAGTACATCAAGCGAAATGTTGGGCTGGATGAATCACAAGCTGGAATTAAGACTGCCAGGAGAAATATCAACAACCTCATATATGCAGATGATACTGTCCTAATGGCACAAAGTGTACAGTAACTAAAAAGCTTCTTGACAAGGGTGAAAGAATAGAGTGAAAAAGCTGACATGAAATTCAACGTTCAAAAAACTAAGATCATGGCATCTGGTCCCATTATTTCATGGTAAACAGAAGGGGAAAAAGTAGAAGCAGTGACAGATTTTCTCTTCTTGGGCTCCAAAATCACTGCAGATGGTGACTACAGCCATGAAATTAAGACAGTTACTCCTTGGAAGGAAAGCTCTGAAAAGCCCAGACAGCGTATTAAAAAGCAGAGACATCACAAAGATCCTTATAATCAAAAGCTATAGTTTTTCCAGGGGAGGAGCCAAGATGGCAGTAGAATAGGATGGGGAGAACACTTTCTCCCCTACAACATCATCAAAAGAACATTTGAACGCAGAGCAAACTTCACAAAACAACTTCTGATCGCTAGCAGAGGACATCAGGCGCCCAGAAAAGTGGCCCTTGTCTTCGAAAGGAGGTAGGACAAAAAAAAAGAGAGACAAAAGAGCTAGGGACAGAGATCTGTCCCGGGAAGGGAGTCTTAATAGAGGAAGTTTCCAAACACCAGGAAACCCTCGCACTGGCGGGTCTGGGGGAAGTTTTTGAATCTCGGAGGGCAACCTGACTGGGAGGGGAAAAATAAATAAAACCCACAGATTACATGCCTAAAAGCAACTCCCAGCAGAAAAGTACCCCAGATGCCCGCATCCACCACCAGCAAGTGGTGGCAGAACGGAAAGAGCGGGCGGCATTGCTTAGGGTAAGGACCGGGCCTGAGTGCCCTGAGGACAATCGCAGGGAGCTTTTGTGAGATTCCAACTTAAACTGTGGGACCGCAAAAGAGAGAGAGATAATTAACCGACCTGAACACACTTCCAGCCGTTCGCAGAACAAAGGGACCGAGCAAGTCCAGAGGAGCTAGCCAGCTGCGGACCGGCCCAGCCCCGCCGGAGGCAGGAGGCAGGGGGGAAGGGAAAGGGGCAGGCACGGCCCCAAGGACTGCATCCCCTACCACACTGCAAACAGGCCTCCAGTTTCTAACCAAAGACTTCCCGAGATTCTGGATGGTGGACATCCGCCAGGAGGGTCGCGGCTAAACACACGGCCCACGCACCCTACCGGCGCTGGCGGGGACTGGGGGTGGAGCTGCGGAGGGGAGAAGGCGCACGCACCGGGGGAGAGTGCGCCCCTCAAGCTCCTGACTGCCTGAGCAGCTTGGGGCGGGGAAGGCACAAAACGCAGGCGCAGCCGAGTCCGCACTTTTGTGGAACACCCGAGGGCTGGAACCGCGTGCAGCGCAGGGCACGCTCCATATAGAGCAGCTGGGAGCCTGAGCAGCGTAGACGGGGAAAGCAGCACCCTCCCCGCAGCGCAACGTAACTAGCAACCTGAACAAGAGACCACCTCCGCCCGCCTGTGTCAGGGCGGAAATTAGGCACTGGAGAGACCTGCAAACAGAAGCCAAATAAACAAAGGGAACTGCTTCAGAAGGGACCGGTGCAACAGATTAAAATCCCTGTAGAGAACACCGACTACACCGGAAGGGGCCTATAGATATCAAGAAATGTAAGCTGGAAAGAGGAGCTATATGAAACTGAACCAAACCCACAAACTGTAGAGGAAGGTAAACTTCCAAACTCATTCTATGAGGTCACCATCACCCTAATACCAAAACCAGACAAAGATGCCACACAAAAAGAAAACTACAGGCCAATATCACTTATGAACATAGATGCAAAAATCCTTAACAAAATTCTAGCAAACAGAATCCAACAACATATTAAAAAAATCATACATCATGACCAAGTGGGCTTTATCCCAGGAATGCAAGGATTCTTTAATATCCGCAAATCAATCAATGTAATACACCACATTA